AACGCTGGTATGCAGTCACTTGGGCATCAAGGGCTCCTTTGTTTGGGTAGGCTCTGGTGGGGAGCGACTGTTTAGACCGCACAGACTTAGACCTAGCCACAACATGGAGAGAAAAGATGGCACCGAACCAGAGACTGTGTGACCACGTGGGGGGTGGGGGGGTTTGGACTTTCCCCTTTGTGACTCAGGGAGCTGAGTCACATATTGTTGACTGTATGTTAACCCCTTTACCTAATGCATAGTGTTTTCCTGTGTATGCAAAGTAGGTGTTCTTTGATGGTGTGTCCTATTGGTTATTAATGGGCTTAGTGTGATTGGCTGTTTGTTTAGGCCCAGTTTGATTGGTTGCTGTTCCAAACCTTTGTGTGTTTACAAATGAGCTTACTTGTAAACAAATATCTGGGTGTGTCTAATAAAAATCAGTTCCTGTTCTATCCTCAAGCTGTGTGTGTCTTCGGGGAGAGGTGTTAGCTGACTGGATCTTCGTGAACGAGCTGACATCTGTGGTTTGGCATTGGGAAGAAACTGTTCAGATGGGTGTGCTCAGTCGGGGCACAGGGGACCCGTCACATAGGTTGCTAGGATAGTATTCATTGAGCTTAGTTTGATGACAGTTTCAGGAGAGGGATCGGGGTGCGATGAGGGAAAGCTGTTCACAGTTTAATTTATATGGTTTCCTAAAGAAGTAAGTTTTCAAAGATTTTTTTGAAGGAGTGGAGATTGGGTGAAAGTACAACAGAGAGGGGAAGGGCGTTCCATAGGTACGGTGTAGCGCTAGAGAAGTCTTTAAGATGAGCATCAGAGTTTAGACGTAGGTCTCCAGCAGAGCGTAGGGGCCCAGACAGGACATATTTGTGTATTAGTGAGGGTAAGTGTGTGGGAGCAGCATTGTGTGGAGATTTGTAAGCAAGTGTCAAGATCTTAAATTGAGCCCTACATATTACAGGAAGCCATTGGAAGGACTTACAAAGGGGGGTGGAGTGGGAGGTACGGGCGGACAGGAAGATGAGCCTTGCTGCCGCATTCCTTATAGACTAACATGGCAAGGTGGGAACACATAAGACCAATGAGAAGCAGATTACAGTTGTCAAGGCGAGAGAGGACAGCAGCATGGACAAGGACTTTTGCCGTATCAGGCATTAAATAAGGTCAGGTGCGCGCAATGTTTTCGAGATGGAAGCGGCAGGATTTGGAGATTGATTGGACATGAGGGGCGAAGGAGAGGCAGGATTCATAGAGAACAGCTAGGAAGCGTGCCGTAGAAGTAGAGCAGATGATGGCGCCATTGACTTGGAGGGACACAAACAAAGTAGTAGCAACACTTGAGGGAGGGAAGGCCAGAAGTTCTGTTTTGGACAGGTTCAATTTAAGGAAATGAGCAGCTATCCAGTTGGAAATAGCAGAGAGGCAGTCAGAGACACGAGTCAAGAGGGGTGGTAAGAAATCAGGGGAGGACAGATACATTTGCATGTCATCTGCATAGAAATGATACTGGAAGCCGAAGTAGCTGATGAGTTTACCAAGAGAGGCAGTATAGATAGAGAACAGTAGGGGACCAAGGACAGAGCCTTGGGGAACACCAACAGAGAGGGATTGGGGAGAAGAGTGCCCTCCTTAACACACACATCTTCAACTGCTCTCTTTCTTTTGGCACTGTTCCTGCTGTCCTGAAACATGCTACTGTAGTATCCATCTTAAAAAAAAAAAATGTCTCAACCCATCCTCCCCCTCTAACTATCGTCCTATATCCCTGCTCCCTTTTTCCTCAAAGCTTCTTGAAAGACTAGTCTTCACCTGTCTGGCCTGCTTCCTCAACTCCTACTCTCTCCTCGACCCTCTTTAGTCTGGCTTCCGCCTCCTCCACTCTACTGAGACTGCCCTTATCAAAGTCACTAATGACCTTATCACAGCTAAATCCAAAGGTCACTACTCGTTATTAATTCTTCTTGACCTCCCCGCTGTTTTTGACACTGTTGATCATGTTCTCCTTCTCCAAACTCTTCAATCACTCGGTCTCTGTGACTCTGTCCTTTCATGATTTTCCTCCTATATCTCCCAACGCTCATTCAGTATCTCCTTTTCTAATGATACCTCCACCGTTCGTCCTGTCTCAGTTGGGGTCCCCTTCTATTTTCTCTTTACACTGCCTCTCTTGGTAAGCTTATTACCTCTTTTGGATTCAAATACCACCTGTACACTGATGATACCCAGATATATCTCTCCTCCCCAGACCTTTCCCCTGATGTCCTACAATGTGTTACCTCTTGCCTTTCTTCTATCTCTGATTGGATGTCCTCCTGCTTTCCGAAACTGAATCTTTCCAAAACAGAACTTCTTGTCTTTCCTCCTCCTAATATTAATCCTCCTCTCTTGCTCTCCCTTCAGATTGGTGGTACCCATATCAGCCCATCCTTACAAGCACGTTGTCTTGGTGTTACTTTTGATTCTGGCCTCACCTTTGAGCCTCACATCTGGTCTGTTGTCAAATCATGCCAATTCAACCTCAAAAACATTGCTCACATCTGCCCCTTTCTTACACAAGATGCTACTAAAGAGCTTGTTCATGCTCTAGTAATCTCTCGCATGGACTATTGTAACTCTCTCCTAATTGGTCTTCCCAATAGCCGTATTGCCCCGCTACAGTCTGTAATGAATGCTGCCACCAGACTGATTTTCCTCTCTAGGTAGTCCTCTCACACCTCATCCCTCTGCCAGTCCTTACATTGGCTTCCTGTATCCCATATGAGTCCATTCAAAGTGCTAACCCATACCTATAAAGCACGGAATAATCTTAGCCCATCTTATATCTTCTCACAGATCCATAGGTATGCCCCTTCTCTGTCCCTCTACTCTGCCCGTGACCTTCTTCTGTCCTCTGCTCGTACCCGTACGGCCAACGCTTGCAGGACTTTTTGCGGGCGGCTCCCGTCCTATGGAATAGCATGCCTACCACCATCAGACTCTCCCCTAGTCTTCAATCATTTAAGATGTGCCTTAAAACTAATTTCTTTAGAAAAGCCTATGGTCTCCCAGACTAACCTCTACCTCACATACCTGTCTCTTGCTCTATCCTAAAGCGCAGTACTCTACTCTCTCCTCCAGCTCTGCTCCACTCCCACCTAATTTGACTTCTATTCCCTGTCCTGTGATTTATACCCCACCTCCTGTAGACTGTAAGCTCATTTGAGCAGGGCCCTCTTCAACCCTTCATTGTCCTATTTATAGTCAAATCCCCCCTCTAATAATATTGTAATGCGCTACGGAATCTGTTGGCGCTATATAAATCGCAATAATAATAATAATAATAAGAGGCAGAGCCTGAGAAAGAAACACTGATTGAGCACTGGGAGAGGTATGAAGAGCACCAGGAGAGAGCGGTATCTCGTAGACCGAGATTACGGAGGATGAGAAGAAGCTGTTGATGACCCACAGTGTCAAAAGCAGAACGGTAGAAGCGAATTATGATAGAGTAGTGGCCATGGGATTTTGCAGTGATAAGATCATTGGTTACTTTGGTCACATCTGTTTCAACAGAGTGATGAGCGCGGAATCCAGATTGAAGCGGGTCAAACAGAGAGTTGGATTCTAGGAAGTCTGTCAATCTTGCATACACAACTCTCTCGAGGATCTTGGAGACAAACGGCTGTAACAAGATAGGGCGGTAGTTGGACAAGGAGTTAGGGTCAAGGTTGGGCTTTTTCAGAATCAGGGGTTACGGTTGCATGTTTGAAGGGTAGAGGAAATGTGCCAGAGGAGAGGGAGAGTTTGAAAATTTTAGTGAGAGGCAGAGCAAGAGAAAGAGACAAAGTGCGGATGAGATATGTGGGAACAGGTGGTGGGACGGGAGGAACGGAGCAGAGCAGGGAATGCTCGATCATAGAGCCTTTCTGGACCAAATCAACGGACAACCCACACCCTTTTTACTGGCTCCATACCTGCTGCATCACACGGCTTCTCCCTGATCTGCGTATAAACACTCCCTAACTGTCCACATTTTAAATACCGCAAAGCACTTATTACTGTAATGGAAATAGGACTCTGCCCCAACGTTGTCATTGTGGTTCACTAAGATGGAGGATCTACGGGTCCTGGAGGCACAGTGGTTTTCCACGCAGGGTAGAGCACAGACGCATACAGAAATTTAGGCACCATGGTGTCAGGATTACTGTTTGATCCAGCACGTAGAACTGTACAGCACGGATGACAAATAAGTAACCTATTACCGGTCCTTAGAATGGCCGGATTTAACGTACAAAGAATAGTCAAAAATACTAGCCGAGGTCAGGGAACACAGCGATGAGGAAAGCCAGGAGTCAGGATACCAGCATATAGAGAAGTCAATAAACAAAGCCAAAGTCAAAAACCAGGTAGAAAACTATAAACAGGAACGCGCTCTCGGACAACCACAAGGGAAACCACGACAGGGCACTGAGCAGGCTGAGAACTGGGCCTAAATACCCCTCCTTTAGTTCTGATAGGCTGTAACCGGCCTTTGACCCCAAAGTCAGTTACCAGGTTTCATTTGCATAATTGCTGCTCAGCATTAACCCTTCTGTGGATTAGGTTGCTGCTCGGCACAACTTTTCCTGTGTGGACAGTAAATGTCATTAACCACATTTCTATAAGCGGATGAATACGTGACACATGGCTCCTTACTGCCTACTAGGAGGCATTCTGGGTAGGGCTTGGGGATATGTGGTCAGCCGGGAGGGGCTTGGCGCCCCCACCATAGATTTTTGGAGGGATGGGGCGGTGAAGTGGTACCCATACTCTTCCCACTTCTGACCCTCTATTTCTCCATACTTTAAGAAATCTGTGGGGACCTGGGGGGGTATAGAGAGGGGTTGTCATGCGGGGAGCCAGAGACTCGTGCGTTTTAGTTTGTTAAACGGTTTATGTTATACTATTGGATATCCTACCTCTATGTACTATACATGCAGCACAGAATTGAGATGTTTGTGACATAATATCACCATGTTTTAACGTGACGCAAGTTTACAATGAAAGGGACCTGCATGTCCCACCGTGATGCCAATCATTTGAGGACCTGCGAGTCCCACCGTGATGCCAATCGTTTGAGGACCTGCGTGTCCCGCCATTATGCCAATCATATGAGGACCTGCGTGTCCAACCGTGATGCCAATCATATGAGGACCTGCGTGTCCCACTGTGATGCCAATCGTATGAGGACCTGCGTGTCCCACCGTGATGCCAATTGTATGAGGACCTGCAAGTCCCACCGTGATGCCAATTGTATGAGGACCTGCAAGGCCCACCGTGATGTCAATCGTATGAGGACCTGAAATTCCCACCGTGATGTCAGTCGTTTAAGGACCTGCGTGTCCCACCGTGATGCCAATCGTTTGAGGACCTGTGTGTCCCACCGTGATGCCAATCGTTTGAGGACCTGCAAGTCCCACCATGATGCCAATTGTTTGAGGACCTACATGTCCCACCATGATGCCAATTGTTTGAGGACCTGCATGTCCCACCGTGATGCTAATTGTTTGAGGACCTGCGTGTCCCACCGTGATGCCAATAGTTTAAGGACCTGCGAGTCCCACCGTGATAATCGTTTGAGGGCCTGCGTGTCCCACCGTGATGCCAATTGTTTGAGGACCTGCATGTCCCACCGTGATGCCAATTCGTGATGCCAATTGTTTGAGGACCTACGAGTCCCACCGTGATGCCAATTGTTTGAGGACCCGTGAGTCCCACCAATGTCTTATCTGAAAAACTATTAAAAATAAATAAATAAAATGTCAGAATCCCTGAGTCCCCCTCCCCTCTGCTTCTATGATTTCTTTTCACACACTCAGGAATGATGTCCCTCACTGACTGACTGACAGCCTGCCAATGGTTCTCCTGCGGCCACCCAGACAGCCAGTGTCAGCATCCAGGGGGATCATGTGACCCCTCCTCCCCGAGCGTGCGCGCGCTCGCCTTCCCGCACGCGCACTGCTGCTGCTCTCGCGCCTGGCCGGTGGCTGCAGAAAGCTGTGAAGGGGGAGCGCGTGCTGTGCACGGTGAGCCGGCGCGCGGCATTGTGGGTAAGCGCTAGGAGCCGTTGGGCCGCGGCCGCTTCGGTGGCAGTTGGGATTTTCCATGCGGGGGGCGGGGGGAGTGCGCATGTTGGTTGCATCGTCGAAGCCAAGGCAGCAGGGGGCGGCCCTTCCCTCTCGCCGCATTAAATAGGGCAACAGGACGATACCATCAGCAGGGAGAGGGGCGGTGGGGGCTCTGTGTGTGGGGGGGATGGACCGATTCCTGCTCCTTGTTCTAGCAGTTTCTTTATTTATATCATTTATAAAGCGCCAACCTATCCTGGAGCGCTGTACAATGGGTACATGTACCTGACAGTAATATATACCCAGTATGGGGGCAATTATATTAATATTACCCAGTATGGGGGCACATTATATTAATATTACAGTATGGGGGCACATTATATTAATATTACCCAGTATGGGGGCACATTATATTAATATTACCCAGTATGGGGGCACATTATATTAATATTACCCAGTATGGGGGCACATTATATTAATATTACCCAGTATGGGGGCAAATTATATTAATATTACCCAGTATGGGGGCAAATTATATTAATATTACCCAGTATGGGGGCACATTATATTAATATTACCCAGTATGGGGGCAAATTATATTAATATTACCCAGTATGGGGGCACATTATATTAATATTACCCAGTATGGGGGCACATTATATTAATATTACCCAGTATGGGGGCACATGATATTAATATTACCCAGTATGGGGGCAAATTATATTAATATTACCCAGTATGGGGGCACATCATATTAATATTACCCAGTATGGGGACACATTATATTAATATTACCCAGTATGGGGGCACATTATATTAATATTACCCAGTATGGGGGCACATTATATTAATATTACCCAGTATGGGGTCACATTATATTAATATTACCCAGTATGGGGGCACATCATATTAATATTACCCAGTATGGGGACAAATTATATTAATATTACCCAGTATGGGGGCACATCATATTAATATTACCCAGTATGGGGACACATTATATTAATATTACCCAGTATGGGGACACATTATATTAATATTACCCAGTATGGGGGCACATCATATTAATATTACCCAGTATGGGGACAAATTATATTAATATTACCCAGTATGGGGGCACATCATATTAATATTACCCAGTATGGGGACACATTATATTAATATTACCCAGTATGGGGGCACATCATATTAATATTACCCAGTATGGGGACACATTATATTAATATTACCCAGTATGGGGGCACATTATATTAATATTACCCAGTATGGGGGCACATTATATTAATATTACTCAGTATGGGGCACATTATATTAATATTACCCAGTATGGGGGCACATTATATTAATATTACCCAGTCTGGGGGCACATTATATTAATATTACCAGTATGGGGCACATTATATTAATATTACCCAGTATGGGGGCAAATTATATTAATATTACCCAGTCTGGGGGCACATTATATTAATATTACCCAGTATGGGGCACATCATATTAATATTACCCAGTCTGGGGGCACATTATATTAATATTACCCAGTATGGGGGCACATTATATTAATATTACCCAGTATGGGGGCACATTATATTAATATTACCCAGTATGGGGGCACATTATATTAATATTACCCAGTATGGGGGCAAATTATATTAATATTACCCAGTATGGGGGCACATTATATTAATATTACCCAGTCTGGGGGCACATTATATTAATATTACCCAGTATGGGGGCAAATTATATTAATATTACCCAGTATGGGGGCACATTATAATATTACCCAGTATGGGGGCACATTATATTAATATTACCCAGTATGGGGGCAAATTATATTAATATTACCCAGTATGGGGGCACATTATATTAATATTACCCAGTATGGGGGCACATTATATTAATATTACCCAGTATGGGGGCAAATTATATTAATATTACCCAGTCTGGGGGCACATTATATTAATATTACCCAGTATGGGGGCACATTATATTAATATTACCCAGTATGGGGGCACATTATATTAATATTACCCAGTATGGGGGCAAATTATATTAATATTACCCAGTATGGGGGCACATTATATTAATATTACCCAGTATGGGGGAAAATTATATTAATATTACCCAGTATGGGGACAAATTATATTAATATTACCCAGTATGGGGGGCAAATTATATTAATATTACCCAGTATGGGGCACATTATATTAATATTACCCAGTATGGGAGCAAATTATATTAATATTACCCAGTCTGGGGGCACATTATATTAATATTACCCAGTATGGGGACAAATTATATTAATATTACCCAGTATGAGGGCAAATTATATTAATATTACCCAGTATGGGGCACATCATATTAATATTACCCAGTCTGGGGGCACATCATATTAATATTACCCAGTATGGGGGCACATTATATTAATATTACCCAGTATGGGGGAAAATTATATTAATATTACCCAGTATGGGGGCACATTATATTAATATTACCCAGTATGGGGGCACATATTAATATTACCCAGTATGGGGGAAAATTATATTAATATTACCCAGTATGGGGCACATTATATTAATATTACCCAGTATGGGGGAAAATTATATTAATATTACCCAGTATGGGGGCACATTATATTAATATTACCCAGTATGAGCCCAAATTATATTAATATTACCCACTATGGGGGGCACATTATATTAATATTACCCAGTATGGGGGGTAAATTATATTATTACCCAGTATGGGGGCAAATTATATTAATATTACCCAGTATGGGGGCACATTATATTAATATTACCCAGTCTGGGGGGCACATTATATTAATATTACCCAGTCTGTTGGGCAAATTATATTAATATTACCCAGTATGGGGACACATTATATTAATATTACCCAGTCTGGGGGCACATTATATTAATATTACCCAGTATGGGGGCAAATTATATTAATATTACCCAGTCTGGGGGCACATTATATTAATATTACCCAGTGTGGGGGCAAATTATATTAATAGTATGGGGACACATTATATTAATATTACCCAGTATGGGGGCACATTATATTAATATTACCCAGTATGGGGGCTAATTATATTAATATTACCCAGTATGAGCCCAAATTATATTAATATTACCCAGTATGGGGGCAAATTATCTTAATATTACCCAGTATGGGGGGCACATTATATTAATATTACCCAGTATGGGGAAAAATTATATTATTACCCAGTCTGGGTGCAAATTATATTAATATTACCCAGTATGGGGACAAATTATATTATTACCCAGTATGGGGGCAAATTATATTAATATTACCCAGTATGGGGACAAAATATATAATTTATTACCCTGTCTGGGGGCAAATTAGATTAATATTACCCAGTATGGGGAAAAATTATTTTAATATTACCAAGTATGATGGCAAATTATATTAATATTACCCAGTATGGGGCACATTATATTAATATTACCCAGTCTGGGGGCAAATTTTATCATTACCCAGTCTGGGGGCAAATTATATTATAACCCAGTCAAAGGGCACATTATAGTATTACCTAGTATGGGGGCAAATGTTATTATTACCCAGTTAAAGGGCAAATTATATTATTACACTGTCAGAGGGCACATTATATTATTACCCTGTCAGTGTGCAAATTATATTATTACACAGTCAGTGGGCAAATTATATTATTACCCAGTCTGGGGACAAATTATATTTTTACCCGGTCTGGGGGCAAATTATATTATTACCCTGTCAGTGTGCAAATTATATTATTACACAGTCAGTGGGCAAATTATATTATTATCCTGTCAGTGTGCAAATTATATTATTACACAGTCAGAGGGCAAACTATATTATTACCCAGTCTGGGGGCAAATTGTATTATTACCCAGTCAGAGGGCAAATTATATTACCCAGTCAGAGGGCACATTATAATATTACCCAGTCTGGGGGAAATTTTATTAATTATTACACAGTCTGGGGGCAATTTATATTATTACCCAGTCTGGGGGAAATTTTATTAATTATTACACAGTCTGGGGGCAATTTATATTATTACCCAGCCTGGGGGCAATTTTTATTAATTATTACCCAGTCTAGGGGAAAATTTTATTATTACCCAGTCAGTGGGCAAATTATATTATTACCCAGTTAGTGGGCAAATGTTATTAATTATTACCTAGTCTGGGGGCAAATTTTATTATTACCCAGTCAGTGGGCAAATTATATTATTACCCAGTCAGAGGGCAAATTATATTATTACCCAGTCTGGGAGCAAATTTTATTATTAGCCAGGGGGCACATTTTATTATTACCCAGTCAGAGGGCAAACTATATTAATTATTACCCAGTCAGTGGACAGATTTTATTAATTAGTCAGAAGAAAAATTTTATTACGCTGTCTGTGGGCAAACTATATTAATTATTACCCAATCAGAGGGCAAATTATATTAGTTATTACCCTGTCAGAGGGCACACTGTATTATTGCCCAGTTAGGGGGCATATTATATTAATTATCCAGAGGGAACATTATATTATTACCCAGTCAGAGGGCACATTGTATTATTACCCCAGTCAGGGGGCACATTATATTAATTAATACCCATATAGGGAGCACAGTGTAATAATTATTACCCAGTCAAAGGGCACATTATATTAATTATTACCCATTCAGTGGGCATATTATATTAATTATTACCCATTTAGAGGGCACATTGTATTAATTATTATCTAGTCTGTCAGCTAATTGTATTATTATTCAATTAGTTAGCACATTAAATTATTACCCAGTCAGAGAGCACATTAAATTCATTGATATTCCATCAGAGGGCACATTGTGTCAATATACACAGATAGAATGCACTTTTTTGGTGTCCAGTCAGTGGGTACATTATATTAATTGTTACCCAGTCAGTAGCACATTGTGTCAATATGTATCCAGTCAGAGGGCACATTTTATTAATTATTACCCAATAAGATGGCAATTTGTGTTAATATGCACCCACTCAGCCGGGTGTCACATTTAACATGAGAGGGGAGGAGTGGGAGCCTCGAACTCACACGGTTTGGGGCTTCTGAAAACTGGATTTAGTTGTCCACAGCGGCTCTTATATTTGAAAAGTTTGGCACAGGACATAAGCACAGTTTTTGATGCACAAGTACTTCATTAGATGGACTTTGAAAAAAAAAAATGCACTTGTGATGGCAATTACACTCTTATTCTCTATCAGAAATAAATCAGATCAAACAACAGGAATAAATCGTCCATATTTTTTGTCAACTGACAGAAATCAGTCTTGGCTGCTAGGGTTATAATTAAAGGGACACTATAGTTGCCAAAACAACTTTAGCTTAATGAAGCAGGTTTTGTGTACAGATCATGCCCTTGCAGTCTCACTGCTCACTTCACTGCCATTTAGGAATGAAATCATTTTTGTTTCTGTTTATGCAGCCCTTGCCACACCTCCCCTGGCTGTGACTGACAAAGTCTGCATGAAAAAAAAGATTTAATTTTCCATAAGATGTTAACTTACTTTAGAAGTTTTTATCTCCTGCTCTGTAAGTTGAACTTCAATCACATACAAGAGGCTCTTGCAAGGTCTAGCAAGCTATTAATAGTGCTGGGGATACAAAATAATACATTTAATAGAATTTGCAATAAAGGAAGTGTAAACATTAAATCTCACTTTACAGGAAGTGTTTAGGAAGGCTGTACAAGTCACATGCAGGGAGGTGTGACTAGGGCCGTATAAACAAAGCGATTTAACTCCTAAATAGCAAAGAATTGAGCAATGAGACTGCAGGTGCATGATCTATAAACTAAAATGTGGGTGTCTTTTTAATGTGTTAAATAAATAAGCAACTTATTTGGTTTCAGATCTTCTATATTAGCAGTAAGTGAGTTTGGCCTCAGTGAACCCTGGCTCTGGTCAATAAGCTTAAAACGATAGATCCATAAACACTGTAATAACACGTGGTAAAGAGTGGCAATGAGAAAAAAAAACTGTTTATCCGAAGCAACCACTTGCAAATGAAATATAAACCACTCTTAAATACAAAATTAAATGCATGATTTTGATAATTTCGTACTTTATTAAACTTAATGCAGTCATACTGTAATTTTTTGTATTAAGCAGCTCCTAACTACTGATTAATAAATCACACTAAAATATTAAATTATTACCTGTGATTTGTGTGTGCATACGTACTTGAATTAATAAATGATTGCTCATAATGAACACAAATTTACAAGTAGCAATAGGACGAGAATTTCCCCTGTGGCCGAACACTTTCAGATTCAGGAAAAGGAAACAAGCCGTGATTGGTTTTCTACCTACTTTTGTTTTACAAAATAATTTCATATAAAACTATTTAGAATAGAATAGATATGGGCCACCTATTCAATACCAGATGGTACAAGACATGGTGGTATTAATACGTTTTGTACACCACATCTTAAATAATGTCAATTGAACCAATTCCAGCATATATAGCTCAGCGAATAGAGTCATCACAAACTTCCATGTTTCACAGATGAGATGGCATGATTTATATCATGTGTAATTCCTAATTTATTTTATTTATTTTTGCAATTTCATGCTGGCACATGTTAAAATGAACCAGACATAACAGGCATGTGCTTTAATGGCTGTGGAGGAGGGTTATTTTGGTCCATTTTTGTCAGTCAATCCACAATGTAGCGGTTTATGCAGAGAATTGATTGACAAAGTATGGATACAAATTTATTATATGTAAAGGATCACTATAGCGTCAGGAAAACATACTCGTTTTCCTGACACTATATAACCCTTAGGTCCCCCCACCCTCAGGGCCCCCCCTCACTTGGCGCTTAAGGGGTTAAAACTCTTTCAGTTAATTACTTTAATCCAACGCCGGGCTCCCTCGGTGCTGGTGACTTCTCTCCCCCCCCGCCAACGTCAGCTCCCTAGTGGAGCGGAATGCACATTCAAACAGCTCTACACGCTGAATGTGATTTTCGCAAACAAGCATCGCAGAAGCGCTTCTAGCGGCTGTCAGGAAGACAGCAACTAGAGGCTGGATTATCCCGGCAATGTAAACAGTGAAACTGCTGTTTACATCTAAAGGGTTAAAACTTGGGGGACCTGGCACCCAGACCACTCCATTGAGCTGAAGTGGTCTGGGTGACTATAGTGTCCCTTTATTATGAGCAGTAAGTCCACATGTGATTAAAGTATTAAGGGAATCAACTGTCGATTTCAGAGATTGTTAGAATGGGAAATATATATATTTAGACAAAGAGGATCCATCAATTCTAGGGTACATTCCTGAATGGCTAGAGTTAGGACCTCAACCTATACTCCTCATAGGGAGGTCAGCTAAATTTTGGTATGAAGAAGAGCTATGAAACTCCAGGCTGCATGTACTGGTCAGCCTGTGACCTCTGCTGTGTTCAGGATCAGAACACCAAGCTCTTCCAAGAGCTCTGTGGCCTTCTTCAAACATCTCTAGTATCTGTGTGCTATAGGCAGAATGTCTCATTACCAGCAAAGAGGCGGCAGCATCCATGTTTGCTATCCCACCATTACAGGTCAACCCAATCCTCAGGGACCACCAACAATCCAGGATTTATGTATTTCTCTGTTTTATTCCAATGGAGATACTGACAAAACCTGGACTGTTGGTGGTCCCTGAGGATTGGGTTGGGGAACACTGCTCTAAACAATATATAAATATAATTTACTCGTTATCAGTGCTGCCACAGATGGTACCAGGGAGGGCATCATTTTTTCAAGCCACCATGAAAAGATTCAATGGCACTCTGTTAGATGGCAACAATAGTCTCATAGTACCTTAATCACTACAATTAGTGCCCCTCTAGCATTTTTGTTTCTTCTCTCAGCTATTGAGCTCTCAGCATTTCCACGGAGTACATAGAACTTTGTATATTTCTCTGCACTGTTAAATGTTTTGTCGCATTCATTATTTTCTGACATTACATTCTCGTTGCCCACTTTTTATTTAGTAATCTGTCACCAAGGATTTGAAAAATGTTATGTAGTCCCAAGGTTACCATCTCTATACTGAAAATCAGTCAGACCTTTAAGCACTAAATTAACTTTAGCTAAATTAAAAAAATTCTCTAATACATAAATTATTCCAATTTAAGTTTTAAACACCGTACAAAAAAAGCTTGCTTTTTTTTGTTTAATACCAGACTGCGTCAAGGTTTCTTTATGCCTCACAGCTTTGCCACTTTTGTAAAATCAGGTCGTATTGCTGCTGCAATGATTGCCTTCCAAACGCACATTTGTTTTATGTAGGAGTGTCCCCAGGGGTTCTTAACCCAAAATTGAGTCCCACTGCTTAATTCGTTACCTCTTTATATTGTTCAAGCTTTGAGTGCATGCATTTATTTAACCTTCATTTTCTTTTCTTTTGAAAATATTGCTTTACCATGTTTTAAAGAATACAGTTGTACAAGCATATTTCTTCGGTAACTAGAAAAGGATTAGATTTTGTTTTTTTTAGTTGTGCGTCCAGCTGTGTGCTCTCAGCCTATAATTGCTGTCTTAGATCGGACTGATTCACTCTTGATAATGCATAAATGGAATATCTGCACCACCACTACGGCTGCAGAGCGCCCTGATTTAGTTTTTTTGTGAAATTGCTGCAAATTAGTTTGACAGAAAGCCTATAGACCCATGGCACCACGATCACTAGAATATATATTCTTATAATCTGTTCCTGAGTATTTGAGCTATTTTTTTTTTTTTTTTTTTATCATCCTTTAATTCTTGTAAGGGATGATACTACAACTGCTACTGTTGCTTAGCCATATTTTCTCTGCTTTATTTGGGATTTATTCAGTAGGAGATGTAGAATATTGTCAAGGTTATCACAACTTTATGGCCAAAATGGAAAAAAAAAACTCCAATTCACCCATTTTGGGTTAAAACGTGTTATTTCGTTATCAGTTTTCCGTAATCCCACGTTTAGTAAATGTGCCCCATAGTTCATGTGCTAAGATTGCATATGAGCTTTTTCATAAGCTTTGCCTAGCAATATAAGGTTTTTTTTTATTTGATGTATTTATGGGTAAGGCAATGGCTGAGTGACAGGTAACAGAGGGTTGTAGTCAATGGAATATAGTCAAAGCAAGGTATAGTTACCAGTAGGGTACTTGGACCCATTTTTATTAGTGATATTGCAGAAGGTATGTCTTTTTGCGGATGATACTAAGATATGTAACAGGGTTGATGTTCCAGGAGGGATAAGCCAAATGGCAAATGATTTAGGTAAACTAGAAAAATGGTCAGAATTGTGGAAACTGACATTTAACGTGGCTAAGTGCAAGAGGGTAAAAACCCTCGGGCAGAGTACAGAATATTTGATAGAGTCCTAACCTCAACATCTGAGGAAAGGGATTTAGGGGTGATTATTTCAGATGACTTAAAGGTAGGCAGACAATGTAATAGAGCAGCAGGAAATGCTAGCAGAATGCTTGGTTGTATAGGGAGAGGTATTAGCAGTAGAAAGAGGGAAGTGCTCATGCCATTGTACAGAACACTGGTGAGACCTCACTTGGAGTATTGTACACAGTACTGGAGACCGTATCTTCAGAAGGATATTGATACCTTAGAGAGGGTTCAGAGAAGGGCTACTAAACTGGTTCATGGATTGCGGGATAAAACTTACCAGGAAAGGTTAAAGGATCTTAACATGTATAGCTTGGAGGAAAGACGAGACAGGGGGGATATGATAGAAACATTTAAATACATAAAGGGAATCAACACAGTAAAGGAGGATACTATTTTTAAAAGAAGAATAACTACCACAACAAGAGGACATAGTCTTAAATTAGAGGGGCAAAGGTTTAAAAATAATATCAGGAAGTATTACTTTACTGAGAGGGTAGTGGATGCGTGGAATAGCCTTCCAGTTGAAGTGGTAGAGGTTAACCCCTTAAGGACTGAGCCAATTGTACAAGTTGTGATCAAAACAAAACGTAAACAAAACCTTGAATTTGCGCTATGTCTGTTCAGGCGTAATTCACCTCTTTCATATTATGTGCACCCACACTTATTATATATCATTTTGTTCAGGAGAAACAGGGCTTTCATGTCACATCTTTCTAATATTTGTATATTAAACATAATATAATATGAATACAATATTTAAAATAAATAGCGTTCATATTTATTTGTGTGAAAAATGCAAAAAACTTAGTAGAACGCCAATTTTGGCCAGTGTTTGTGACTAAGTGGCTACTAAAAAACACTGGACATACCCCATTTGTAATACCTTGGGTTGTCTACTTTTGCTAATGGTATGCCATCATGGGGGTAATTCTCATTCCTGGGCTACCATACGCTCTCAAAGGAAACATAACCAATCTGGCAAATTTCAATGTGAAAAAAAAGAAATTCAAACCTTATGTTTGACTCAGTAACTTTGGAAAACACCATAAAACCTGTACATGGGGGGTACTGTTGTACTCGTGAGACTTTGCCGAACACAAATATTAGTATTTCAACACGTATCACAACAATTATATCATCAGTCAAAGTACCGTTTGTGTGTGAAAAATGCAAAAAACTGAATTTTTACTGACTATATCATCGTTGTGATATGTTTTACTGTTTTTAAATGCTTATATGTGTTCAACGAAGTCTCCCGAGTAAAACAGTGCCCCCATGTACAGGTTTTATGGTGTCCTGGAAAGTTACAGGGTTAAATTTAGGGCTTGCGAGACAAATTCTCTGGACTTTCTGCCTGGGTTGTCAGGCAGGTCCCTCAGATTGTAATTAATAGAATTACTTGATTATGCAAAAATATTATATAAATTTATTTGAAGAATTTAAATATATATGTATATGTATATATAATTTTTTAAAATTATTTTTATTTATATATATATATATATATATATGATAGCAATATATATATGTATTTATGACATCATTCGAAATGTATTTTGAATTTAATATATATGTATATTAATATCAAAATACAGTTAGAACAAATTAATACTGGTATAATTTTTGTAAATTATTATGTTTTGTAAAATTTATTTATTGATTATTTTATTTTATATATATAATTATAATTATATATATATAAAAAATAATGTCATTCTAAGTGTATTTTAATAATACTATATATATAATTATATATATATATATATATTAATACTAAAATACACTTTTATTAATGATTATGTATGTGTATATAAAAGTACTTAGATCATATATATATATTTCATATATATATATATGATCTAAGTACTTTTTATTTCATTTAAAACCGGTTTGCTAACTTTTTTACAGGCATGAGAGGCACAGCTATTCCGGCCATGTGATCGCGAGGACCCTGTGATTAATGGCGGATCGGGCAGAGGGGGTCTGCCTGAGCTCCAAGGCAGACCCCGGGATTGCGACCGCTGTCAGGGGAACGGCAGGGACCCGGTAAGTACAAAGGACGGTGGGCACACCTGCCATCCTTGAGGGGTTAACACAGTGAGGGAGTTTAAGCATGCGTGGGATTGGCATAAGGTTATCCTAACTATAAGATAAGGCCAGGGACCAATGAAAGTATTTAGAAAATTGGGCAGACTAGATGGGCCGAACGGTTCTTATCTGCCGTCACAATCTATGTTTCTATTTTTCCCAGGAAGAATGGATCCTTCTAGCCACAGCATGGTGTTACTCCAGCAGTTAAACCTCCAGCGTGAATTTGGATTCCTCTGTGACTGCACTGTAGCCATTGGAGATGTGTATTTCAAAGCGCACAGAGCAGTTCTTGCATCATTTTCAAACTACTTCAAGATGATCTTCATTCATCAGTCCAGGTTTCATATTATGTTTATATCTCTTCCATTTTATACATAATTCTTAGTTCAGAACGTTTTATGAACTCATTGTATTTCAATACTTCCAAGGCTAGTCATTTTACAAAGCTAAAAGTGTTTGGCACGACAAGGTGGAAAGAAACCGTAGAAAGCCATTGCTTGCAGCTTGTCATTGTTGTCCATGATTAGATGGCCTTGCATAGATTGCTTAAGTGTAACCACTTCAATGAGTTATGGTGGCTGTGTTGCTTTGAATGCCATGTTAATGAGGCATTTAAAAAAAAAAAATGTTTTGACTGAAATTATTAAAGGGACAGGACAGTAAAACCTATTTTAAAGTAGTATTAACATTAAAAAGTAATATATTTTTAAGTTTAGATGTGTTTCTTTTTATAGCTTAGCTCATAGGGTACCTTTCGTTGGAAAAAAATTAAAATTAAAATTGCAGAACGTTGTTAAAAGTATTTTATCCTTGTACTCTGTTAATATTGTAGAAAATATCTTGCAATAAAATGCATGCACTTCTTCAAGATAAGCTTAGTCAACAGAATGATAGATGAATCTTGAAACCCTATGATTTTGTTTTTGCTTATACCCTTCTCCACCTTTTTTTTAAAATCCATATTTGTATGCTCCAGCAAAGTTCATGTAAAGGAAAACTAATTCTGACTTGCTATTGGTATTTTTTTTTCTACAGTGAATGCATTAAAATCCAGCCAACAGATATTCAGCCTGACATATTCAGCTTCCTTTTACATGTTATGTACACAGGGAAATGCCCAAAACAAACAGTAGACCATTTCCGTTTAGAAGAAGGCATGAGGTTTCTCCATACAAGCCTCCTTTCACCTGTTGCAAAAGAGCCAACCCAAATTATATCATCCGAAACTATGCATTCCTCCAATTTATATGGCATTCAGATCTCTACTGCCCAAAAAGTACCAAAAGAAACAATTAAGCACAAGGAAAAGCCATCAAACACAGCAAGGCCAGATCAGCAGGGCGAACATCCACAACTGCAATTGTCTTTAGCCATTGGGTTAGAAGGTGTTAGCCCAGAACAGCAGAGCTCACATTTTACTGGCCCTGTTAGTACTCCTGTAAAGTCAATGGAAGAAATTCAGAAGACTGAAATGTGCATAAAGCAGGAAACGTCTGACCCTGACACTGTCACGTCACCAAGCCTGTCGCTAACCGCTCTAGATAACGAATCGCATTTCCGAAAGACTGGCAATAGAATTCATGCTTGCCATTACTGTGGTGAACATTTTGACTCTCGTGTTACTTTACGGGATCACTTGCACATCCATGTATCCCAGTCTCTCCCATTTGGAGTGCCTTCATCAATTCTAGAGGGTGACGACCATGGAGAAGTCCGTCCAATATTGGACAACATAGAGAACACTGAAAATTACAGGCTTGGAAATTACCTTCTCAACAGGAGTGACGAGTCACTGGAATCTGTAAGCCATCAGGAACAGTTGCAGCTTAATCAGCTTTCTTTCCTATCAAAAGACTCTGATCCCATAGAGTTAAATTGCAACCTCTCATTTTTGAGAAAACGAAAATTCAGCTGTGCAGTGTGTGGGCACAAATTTATTCGTAGGAGTCAAATGCTTGAACACCTATGCACACACAAAACCAAACTACAAAAACTCAATAAGTACCAAAAGTTTGGTTACCAGATGGAACGGACTTTACAGACATATTGCGATGGTGTGGCTGATAGCAACCAAAAGGTGTCAGGCTTATCTCAAGATTCCCCAGAATTTCCTGGGGCACCAGATCTCACTGCGCCACAAGAAAATGTACAGTCTGTTGTGACTGAATAATAATTTAAATCATTAGACTGTTGTAAAAATGTATGTGTTTTTGTCCATCTTGCATGTTTGCAACCACCCATCTTTTGGGGGATCTATCAAAATATGTTGCATATAACTATCTTACCAAATTTACTTTCTGTAAATTTTAGTAACGACCAAGTTAAGAATTATATTTCTCAGATCTATTTGGATCAGATTGACATTTAACAAATAAACCTGTAGATCAGGGATATGGCTACAGTTGAATTACTCCATCATTCAGTAACTAGCCAAAGGTCCTCATATTCCTCTGTTTTTAACCATAATGCTTATCCTAAACGTATTGCATATTTTGTCCTTTAAATTTATGCTCAATAGCAAATATTTTCATATATGTTTACTGGGAATTAGTGACTCTTATGCAGTATTTATGCTTAACACATTGTGGGAGTTAATTGTGTAACAATTGTTTTTTCTAGTGTAACATCTGCATGGACTTTACTGGTAAATAAATGTCTGTATGCCATCATATTTTCTGATTTAATATATCGAATAGTAAGGATAAGGGACTTATACCTTCTCTGGTGAGATTTTGTCAAGCTTATCTGAAATTTGTCAGTAACCATTTAAACAGTAACAAGGATGTTCGCTAAAGTGAGACTCCGAAGGTAAGAAGAAACGGACTGTATTTCTGGCAACAATAGCCCATTCGGGAATTTTATTATATTTAGAAATGTTTTCAGTAAAAGGAACACTATAACATTAGGGATACAAAAAACTTTTGTTATTAATTCAGGCCTTCCCCAAATAAAATAAAATTTGAAATAAAGGGTAATTACTACAAGAACCTAGAGTGAGTCTCTGCAGCTGCCTTCATTGATGTTACACCAATGCTTCGAAATGTTCAATTCAATGTTCCTCAAGGAGCATCAGAGACAAAGAGCACACATGCAGTCACAACTCTACACTCCTTCAGTTAAACAGTCTCCAAATAAGGTGAGCATATAGGTACATGTATTTGTACTCTTTATCTTTTAGCTTACATATTGCACCCAGATTGTGTTCCTTCCGGTTTTATTTACATATATCCCTTGGGGAGAGTGCTTTGGAGGTTATCGTAGAAGAAGGTAGTGGTTGCACATATTAAGGCCCAGAAGTGTTTTTGTTTAGAGCCTATATCGTTAAAAGGCTCTAGCAAGTATGAGTTGTACATCATTCACTTTACATATTTATTGTACTGATTAAACAATATTGCCTTATAGTATGTTCTTTATTTGATTTCTATATCCATATGGCTACAACCTCCTGATTATTTGAGGGATATGTGTTCACATCACAAGAGCTGCATTTACACTTGTATGCTTAGGTGGTGGGGCATATCACCTAAACATTAGGTTTAAGTTTGTTTGTATTTTTGTATTTGTTTAGTGTTAACACGGCTGCTTTCAATTCATTTACTTTTTACTAATACCTTTATTAGCACACTTGCTTGTTACATTTCTTATAGTCACTGTAGCATGACCCACGTGGTCCCTTACTCAATTGTTTAACAAACAGCTCAGTATTACTAATTATTCTCAGTTCTGGATAGATACCTATTCTAGTTGTGATAGATACATCACAAAGCTGCCATTTAGAAAGTTGGAAGTCTTGTGCAAATCTACATGGCTCAATATGGCAATCAGTGTCTGGGTAATTCAAATCTCAATTGATAAAGAAAATTAGTATATAGGGGAAGCTGTCTCACAGCCCAGGAATTGGTCAAGCAGTGGTGGACAGCTGCTGCTAGGTAACCCTAGTGTACAGATGTATACATGTTCTCCCTCCCCATTGCCCCTCTAATTAAAATCTCAGCCTATTAAAACACATGGGTGATACAACACCATAACTTAATACCAATAAATGTATTGTCTTTCATAGTGCATGTATGACTATCTAGCTGAAGAATTTCACATTGTCATTGTTATGAAGCAGAGGCAGTTGTCTTAGGGCACTGGGGTATTCAGTCATACAGTTTGACACAGAGGACCCCTACCAACCTTGTTTCATTTCATCTCCTGCCTAATCTGGCTCACAGAGCAATGTAACTGCTACAAAACCACAAAGTGGTTGTCTCCTGCTTAGTATTTGGGCAGATCCTTTGTATCTGTTTTGTCTCTTGCACAGGAATTGTCTGATCCAAGCCTGCGTATCAAGTTTCTGACTCAGCCTTTTCCTGACTGTTTGTTGCGTCTTTGGCCTGTTCCTGAGTACACTCATTCGTGCCAAGTTGCTTTTTGCCAAGTGTCCATTATCCATTGATTTTACCATTGTAAGTGGGTGAGTAAATCATAACCCATAGTTAGGGGGCTACCATAATTCAAACGGCTCTTTTTTAATTAATTGGTAGTAAAAAGACAATTAATAAATGCAATATTTGAAATAAAAAACAGATGTCAGAGAGAAGCACAATGGCTCTACAGCCATGACGATATAAAATCAATAAAAATCACCATCTTGATTTGCTCCTATATGATGCTAGTAAATCCACATGCAAAGAGGAGTATGATACATGGAGCAAATATATACAGTCCATGAAACACAATATGTGTGGTGCAGCATTGGTTGTACTGCATGGGCACTGGGGAACATATATTGCGTGATAGGAGAATGGATCTCTTACCTTTATTGAATTGTGTGTGGGATTGGGACTTGAGGCAGCCCCCGGGGAAAGGGGGGGCACAGGAGGAGGATTCCAGTCATCATATGCCTACACTGCAGACCTTCCTTGTCTGATGGATGTCCACCATGCTGTTGGACTAGATATGGAATGACTGGAGTTAAAGAGCCATGTTATATTTTATTTTATATATACAGTATATTCATAAATATATTGTTATAGGGAAGGCAATGCAGTATTTTCCATAACCTCAGGGTGGGCCTTTATAACCTACAAGCTATTCATGTGGTATCATTGTTGTAGGTTGTGGATATCTACTGGGATGTCTGCGTTACACAACATAGGTCTAATGCTGGACATTATAACGATCATTCACTAAACATTGGCAATTCTCAGATTTACTAAAGCCAAATGCAGTCAGAATTTTGGTCCAACATTGGTTCAGATGAGTTCGGAAAATCACTAGTATCCACATCTGAATCAATTTACTACATCAAAATGAAAGATCTTTTAAAGACCGCATAGCAGGCGATGATAAACCGAATGCATCCGGTAGGATACACGTTTGCAATTATTATTCACATCCTATTTGCAAGTGAATTGATCATTTGAAGAACCCAGAAGCCAGTTTTAGAGTATTGTAGATATGCCCCCCCCAACTGCCGGATAGGAGTTGGGAGCATTTGGAGGTACATCAACGTCCATTATGGTAATATAGGGGTCTTATTGACCCCCATATGATCTAATTTATTATTATTTTTAAAAATGTATTATTATTATTTACTGTTTTAATGTGCCTTACAAGCACTGGCCAACTGCAACCCTTGCACCAACTATGGTTTATCACTAGTTCCCTGCTGGCTGCTCATGCTTCCAGCGGGCAAACTGTTCAGATTTTTTTTTTAAACCTAGGCCTCGAGTTGAAGGCTCCAGACTTAGATTTATCTCATTCAGTCTGGATTTCAGCCATCTGGCAGCATTTGGTCTGGCTGAAATCTGGACCAAATTCAGGACCATACCATCAACAATGTCTAATGCCTCTTATGCAGCCGGATGGTTTTGCCCTGTTTGGTACGGATCCTTTTGGACTTTAGTGAATAATCTGGTTTATATATTTTTACTCCCTCTGGTAGGAGAATTTTTAATAGATTGATGATAATTTTCTTTTGTCTTCCATTATTATTTAAATGTTTCCAATTTCTTTCCTCCCACTAGTCATAAATAAGCAGCAGAGCAGGGACCTATATGCAATGCTTATGATTTAATTTCAAGAATCCTGTTGATAGTAATCAGGTTGGCTAATGAAGAGCCTGCAGGCATTACGAGTTCCAGACACTTTTGCATGGACCATGATCTGCCAGAGAACTCAGTTGGTCTTATTTTACATTTTATTTAACAAAATCCAGCATCCATAAGCAGGAATGTAAATGCTTACACCATAAAAACTGATTTACGACCATGTATTCACAAGGCTTTAAAGTAGGGTGATGTCTACGTTTTTGAGTAGTGATGTTCACTGTTACAGTGGAACCTCGGAACGGAATGCTCCCTTACCTAAACAATTTGGTTGTCAAACATAACATTCAAGAAAGAAAATGTCTCGGTACCCGGAAAAAAACCATACAGCATTAACTGTAGTGGGTCTGCTGACAACCTGACCGTTTGTCCTTGCTCAGCCATGTCTGGTCCCTGGAAGGAAATCAGTTATTGTACAGAGAGACCCATTTCCCACCCAGTAACTGGACGACACACAGTTCTGGGGGTACAACAACAACTTTATTGTCCACACTTTGATGCAAGGGGTGGATCACATATAACAACAATGTCCCCTCCCAGGGTCCTCCCCCCTCCCAGGGATCGCATAACAGATCCGGAACCCCAACCCCTTTGTCCCCCTTTCCTGACACTTACTTAAAGCTTCCCGCCTCTGTGACTCCCAGCCACAGAAAGCCTGCCAAACGCCATTGTCCCCAAAAGAGTGTCCCCACCAATCTCAGGGTCCCCCAGAACAGTAACTGCCACCGCTTGTCGGGGCCCTGGGTAAAACCAGGCGAGGGAAGTGTCTCCTTTCGGGACACGAATGCTCCCCCTGGCTGCCGCTCTTCTATACAAACGGCGGCCACCCAAGAAAGCACTCTTTAATTACTTCCCTTGTAGTTTCACACTTTCTAATTGATTGGCATGAACACTCCAAGGGCACTGGGGAGATCCCCGTTCAGGAACCGAACGAGGTGGGAAGCAGTCCACAAATGCTCCCCCTAGATGGCGTTCGTCCAACGAATGGGCTGCCACCCAGGGTCGGGACGCTCTGAGGCTTCCCTTGCAGTTTGTGGTTTCAACACCTCATTACAAGGTGTGAACGTTCTAAGACAACATTCGGGAGTTCAGGAGGCGAACGGAACCCGAAGTGGGAGCAGGTAAAACATATGAATACAACACAGTACAGGGGAAAACACGGAATATCTCATAGCAATTCACGAACAGGCAGAGGTCCTGCCACATTAACCTCATTGGAACTTCGTTGGCATGACGCTAACAGCTTCCTAGCACTAGACAAAACGAACACAGCTCCATTCTGTCAGCAAACAGAGCTGACAGGTAAAGTGAAGTTACATTTTAATTTCCTTTACGTTGTGTTTATTGCTTTTGTGTATGACTTTATGCATGTAAAGTATTATTAAACTGTAAAATTTGTGTTAAAATGCTGTAATTTTGGGGGTCTGGAACAGATTAATCTAATTTACATTAATTCTAATGCAAAATTTTGATTTGTTTTTTGAACAAATCAGTTCTCAAACAGCCTTCTTGAACGGATTAAGTTCGAGTTCCGAGGTTCCACTGTATTTAATTTTCATGTTCTTCCCGCTACGTTATTGGAAAATGAATAATCAATTCTGTAATATGCAGACTACATTTCTGATGTAGTGAGGCAGTGTATTTTAGTCTAGTTTCTTTTACATGACAATATTACTATATACAACTGCATTCTAATCTGTTGAATGCAAGTATATGAAGATATTCTTTGATATTATTGTTTACCTTGAGGAGCAGATGCATAATCTATATCTCTTATTCACATACCTAATAAGATTCCTATACATGATCAGAAATGTCCACACAAATAAACTTTACATTTATTTACCAGTTCATATTTACCAGTCCTAAAGCCCTTTAAGTTGGTCTGTTTTTATTTAACAGATTCTGCTTGATAGTAGACAAGAATTGTTTGTAGCACAATATCTGTAAAAATGATACACAATTTTATACTGTTTAATGACAATATCCTTACATGTTGTGCGAGGGGACAAGGCAAGTCTAGCTGTCATGGACAAACTAAAAGGCTTGCAGAAGTCTATTCATCTAGGCATCTCTATGTACTAGGGCAGTTAGGTGCACTTTAGAAGGAAAGTCACAGTATGGCTATTTGAACAGAATTTGGTAGAAGCATTTCATTTGGCAGCTGACAATTTTTCTTGGTGGTATAGTATAGTCATATCTGTTATGGATGGGATGCTGCTGCATGTCTTGTTCAGCGGGGACATATCGGCATTTGGATTATGGTGGGGGGAAACGGGGGGGATGCCGAGTCAGATGTTGATGGAGCTCTGAGAGAAAAAATTATACGGTATTTAAGGTCTATCCGTTTGCATTTACTGCTACTGCAATTATTACCAATATTCTACAATCTTGTGGGCTCACCAAACAAGCACCTCTGAGTAACCTGCTTTCTGTTGGGCTAGTCAGGTGGCCTACTTGCTGTCTAATTGTGTGAGGAAGGTGGCAAATTTCTCGACTGAGTTTAATGGACACTGGAAGTCTTTGCAGAGTTCCCTATTTTCCCCCTTGTTGGTGAAAGTTATATCAGCACATACAATGGGTGTTCCTCAACTGAGAGTATGCTTCTGGTATATGAGCTTGTAATTCTTTTGCTACTCATCCACGATGGCAGCTTGGCATGTATTGATGATTTCTCAAGCATGTGGAAGGTTTTCTCAATTCCTACAAATCCATGTTCTGCATTTTGGGAACAACTGTAGCTTTGCAGAAACACTAAGGCTCGAATGCCGATCCAACCACAGTAAGTAGAGAGTTTAGGTGCATTTATTTGGAGAAAGGACTATGTTGCTCAGACTGCGCTGAAGACCTCTAAGGGCCCATTTCATACTTTCACTTTGAAGATACCACAGCCTATGCCATTCCATAGGAGACAGGCAACCAGGCGGTGTACCTCCCCATACCACCATTATTTTGCAACTACCCCAGAAGGAGGGGAGGACATTGGTGCAGCTTGGTGAATTAATGCCACTTTTTATCCCATTATCAACTTCGGAGTATAAGGACAGTACGGGCTGCAGAGTTCATCAGACTTGTCGGCATTGTGTTTTTGCCTGTATCTTTACCTAGGGGCTGGCTTGTGGCTTACCCAGACCTCATGATATGGATCCTGGGCTGTGGCTCCCATTTTCCATTGATCGTATGCCTCAAGCCCAGGTCTCTAAATGGGGAATTGGCTAAATAACCTAGCCTGCTTAGTGCGCTTGCTTCCTTCTTCAACGCATGTTTGCTGTTTTATAAATGTGTAACTTTAATGATAGTAATACACAATTACATTTTTGTGCCATAAGCAAGTATAGTCCTAATACTCTGATAACTCTTGCAAACCCTTTCACATTGCAAGTTTTCCATATGTATATATTTTCTGTCTTACTGTTATCACCAATAAGATGCCTTGCTTGACAGTTGTTCACACCATTGAGACGTGGGAATAAAGATCCTCTTACACCACAAATTCTCCATGCATATGTGTATGTGATTCCTCTCTTATTATTTGTTTATCCTATTGTGGTATGGGATTTACCTTTAAAAATGTATTTGTTGAGCAATTAATATCAATGCGTTGTTTTCTGCAAATACCGCAAATATCTCATATAAAACGATTGACCCCAAAAAATTATAAAACCCTCTGTAATGGCACAAGTGAGATAAAACATATATGAAACGTGAGCTTTGACTAGTTACAGGTCGAACTACTGAGTTTTTATCCATTTTTAGAATTTATAAATTCTACTTGCTTTATGAGCACGGTGTCTATCCTGCATGTCTGTAAAAGATTGCTGGGGATCAGAGATTCAATGGATTTACTGAATGGCCAATACTAGTCGTTCTGCCCCATTAAGCACAACACAAGAAGCAGCAATATTTCGGACACCAGATATGGTGCTGGCATGGCTACGCTCCATCGATTACACCTGCAAAAATTACAGAAAAAAAAGGTCATTCATGTAAAAAGAAAGACTACAAAATTAAAACAAATATTCCAAATATCTAACAAACCCACTTTTAATGATTGCATTTTGTTTAAGGATATTTTGCATATTGGACTATTTTGCCTGCTTTCTATTCCTACAACATAGGATTTAGTGGGATTGACAGAATGGAAAACAAATAAAAGATTTGCAATAGCTTTATTAACAGAAAATAATTAAAAGGAGGATAAGCCACAGTTTTTACCTGAAGAATGTGCGCACACAAACAAAGAATAGTGCACACATGTAGTAATTGAATGGCCCAGCTGTCTTTGCAATAGAGGCAAGGATTTATCCTAAGTTGTTGTAAACAATAACAGCAAAAAAAATAATAATTTAAATTATCTATTTATTAATATTTTTTTAAAATGCTTCCTGTATTCTCTATTGAATGAAATGTTATTGGGCCAAGAGAAATAAATAGAGGGCCAGTGTCTACAGATGAAAGTCATGGAAACATATAAAAGTATAGTATAAGCCAGTTAATACAGTTGCTAGTTCACAATAATTAAGCCTATTCCTAAACTACCTCATCACACCACAGTAGAAGGGTGTAATAACACACCGTGTAAAAGAGGGATAGTAAATTTCTACATATTGAAGCAAAAGGAGGGTGAGGGGAAACTGCGAAAGAGAAACCCCAAACTCCTCGTAACTCAAATAGAAGCTCAACATACGTAAAACCAGATGAGACTAGTCCGTAAATATTGGGTCACAATTAAATTCAACGCAATAGATTTTACTCTATAGAATTTAAAAATCTATAATGAAGATAAACAAGGACATTAGGAATTATTTCAAAAAGTGAATTTTGAATTCCATACCTTTGATCCTCAGAACGAGGGTCTTGGTAAAAGCTTGCTCGGTGCGTGGTTGAGAAAAGCGCCTTCATCCACTAGCTGCTGAATGGATGACTGAATAACCTTATTCACAAGAGAAGTGGCCGTTGTCATCAGCATAATCTCATATGGATCTGAGATTACAATACTATGATTTGAGAGGTCATTGATCAAAGAGACATTTAACCTATCTTTGCTGTAAATCAGATTGCTGAGATGAGCAACCTCTGTATTTTCCATGTTCTTGCTTTCTGTGATTGGTTGAATATGATTATCCTCATGAGATACATCTGCTTTTGGTACAGAAGTGACCGTATCTTGAATTTGTTTTTCACCTACATAACATTTTATCATACAACCATGTAGCATTTGTTCCGCAGAGTTAATGTTCACTTCAGAATCTTCTTTGAGATCATCTGAAGGATGATCCATTTCTCTTTCTTCCGACTTACCACCATAATCCCCATTAGATGCATTTTTCCCCTTGGCTGCTTTATCTACAGATGTTATATCTGAGTTTACTGTAAGTTCATCCATGCTCTTCTTCTGTTTAGGTAAAGGCTGCAATTCAACTGTAGAATTAAATGGACATTGAACAACATCGCTGCCGATTTCCCCATTTTCCGCATCTAGAGACCTTTGTAACTTATATTTGATTGCCAAAGCTTTATCACTTCTTTCACAGTCAGATCCTGGCTCTTCTGTCTGCATGTTTGAGGGTTTCGCAACAAAAGATGTTTCTTCAGCTGAACTGATGCTATCTGAAGACTTCTTTCCTCTGTAAAATGTCATGCATGGAATCTTAAGTTTGGAGAACCCTTTATTGTTTGAAGCACATTGACTGCAATTTTTCCTCGTGTTGGCTTCAGGGTGCGGGCAGTTCTGGTGGGACTGTTTTTTTAAGGAAGAATGCGTTTTTTTTCTCCTTGTTACCATCTTTTTAAAACTTGCCCATGTTTTGCACATTGACTCATCGTGCTGTGGACATTCCCCCTCTCCGTCATTTTCAGATGTGCAGCTTTTAGACATAGGTTTATCATCATTTGAATCTGAACTATTTCTATGAGTCTTGCTTCTTTTTTTAAAGCAGATTTTATTGGGTGTACATGCATAACGTCCTTTCTGGTGACACATCTTTTTAGACCGTTTTGTGTTTTTATGGTCAGACTTTTCTGGATTAAGTTCAAGTGAGCTCTTCCTCTCTATGGCAAAGGTTCCATCATCCAATTTTCGGAAGGAGTACCTGGACTCTCTATTAGTGTTTCGCTGATAGGAGTCTGTAATCGACGATGTGCAAGTAAATTCATTGGAAACCTCTTCAAACCCTAAAACTTCACACTTCTTGGTCATTGCACCCACTGCCAGTGGTAACTTCTCGTTTTCTTTGAACTCTATGGAGAGATTTCGCAGACTGCTTCTGCTCTTTTTTCTTTTGTGTTTACCTTTTCTGAGGAACATCATGGCTGAATACCCGCGAAGGGATTTTATAACCTCATTATTCTGACTCTTGTCTCTTACACATTGAGCTTCATGTAATTCTTTGTCTTCTACAGTGTCCGAAAAATCTCTTTTGCATTCTGACATTTGAAAAAATCTGTGAGGATGCCAACGTAGGCACTTTTGTTTACAGACTGTGGTCAAAACCTTATATTTCTTTTTCCCGTAACATATGAATAAAACCGCACCTGCAAAAACATAAAACATTTAAATAATGAAATACATTTTAGTAACTTTATACATTTGATGGAGATAAGGAATTTTTAATAAACCTATTAGAATCTTCTCAAGGCAACATATAATATAAACACATACATTTTTTCTATGGGCTTCCAAATGTCTGTGTTTTGTGATTACTAAGTTATACTTAGTTGTTTTGCCATTAGCGGTTTGCTCACTTGTGAATTGCTGTAAGCTGTAATGGTTACTTGTACATCTTGTTTACTACGTAGAAGCCAACACATCTGTTACCAAATTTATTCAGGGCTTCTTTGCATAAATGCTTGAGGAAAGACATGTTTTCTTGACACATCTGTATGTAGAACCCACAAAGTCTTATTTGCAGTGTGTAATGGTATTTATTAATTAATGACTTTACATCATAAAGAAAGCATATTTAGTGTAATGCTTTGGGGGCACCACTAGGGGGAGTGTGTAGGAAGACATGTGCTTCTGGCAGTGACATCACAGGCCAGCCTACTTACACTGAATAAAACCAGATGGAGGAGAAAACTCTGTCCCTTTGCCTGTAACTGACTGAACCTAAGATGTAGTACCAGCTCTGACTTAACCCCAGCCAAAGGGCTGGGGCCTTGTAAGTAAAATGAACATTTAGCCTTTTGTGTAACATGTAGCAACCTTTTGTAAGTAATATGTTGTAGTTTTGTATTGTATCATAATTGTAGTAAATTGACATTCTGCTAGCATCTGTTTATTTGTTATAGTTATATTAAATATACATTTAATATTACAATGTTTTGTGTATTTTCTATCCACATATTCGACCATAATACCATGAATTATAAAAATATTAATGTTGTTCCGTATTGCTTAATTATTATGTATTAAGAGATTAATATTCATATTTAGGTCACGACCACAACATTTGGCGTAGTCGGCAGGATTATGCTTGAATATTGGGGAAAATATAAATGTTATGCATTTTGCTTACATCATACTGTAAATTGTCTGTCTGTATACAAATGAATAAATGAATGATGATTTGGTTTTAATGGAATGAATGCAGATAGCAGATAGGGATTAGATATTTGTTTTTTAAGGTATCTCTTGTTGTAGAACATAGTGATGAATTATTGTGTTGCTTGTTACGTTTTACCAACCTTTGGTCATTTTTATATATAAAACAAAAAACAATTTTACTTTTTGTCTGACCATGTGGATTTTAATCCACCATTGACCACATGGTGTGAATGAGTTGAGGCCTAGTTTCATTGTTTGCTACCATTTGCATAGGAAAAGACTTTTCACTAAACTAGTTCACCAGGTTTTATTGCTAAATTTGACCCTGTTTGTGTACTAATTTACATTTGTTTGGCATTCATGGATTTGTCTAGTTGAAAAGAGATTTGGACAAAATTTATTAAATTAGTAGTTAAGAAAAAGATACGTTTAGTAAAGCAGATTCAGTGAATAATAGATTTATGTGTGCGTATACACAGAATATTAGTATAAATATATATATGATTTTGACTCATGAAGGAGAGACCACCTTTTTAACAGCTGTGTGACCATGCTTTTCAGCTACAGCTGGGGGAGAATTTGTCCTTGTTGGGGGTGGGTAGTCTTGCCTGTATGAGAAAAAATAAACTGCATTGTTTTGTAAATGTAATTGCCTAAACTAATCAATTTGTGGAGTGTTTTTCAGCTTTATTATCCAGGACTAAGGAATTACTGGACATATGCAGGAACTGGTAACAAATGAACTGAAAAAATGGTAAAATAATTCCTTTGTCCTATTTAGTCTGAATATTTTAACAAGTTAGCATTTTTAACAAAGTAAGTGTAGGGGCTCAGATTAAGATTTATATTATTTTAGAAGCCATCTATAACTGATTTTAATATTTCCATGCTTTGAATTAGGGTGTATCTGCCTAGCGGGTGAACCTCCATAACGTGGGCTGTGATTTTAGTTACAGTAGCGGGTGGGGAACCTGAGCTAGGGGGTATTTAAACGTGTCCGGATAAGGGGGAGCATACCCAATAGTTGTTGTGCAGTTCTATCCTGTATTATTATTTGAAACCCTGTATTACTTATAAGTAGCGTTTTGTAACTTATTTGTAATTGTTTATATATATTGCTCTGGGAAAGGGATAGGCAAAATCTCTGAGAGACCAGGAAATATATTTTAAAAAAAGGGCGTATTACACTAGTGGTAGGGTGGCCTATCATGACCATAGAGACCCTTGGTGACTAGTTTTTGTTGTATATTGCCCTGGGAAGGGGATACGCTATTTAATAGAAATTCCTGAGAGACCAGGAAATATACAATAAGTGATACGTGAGTGTACTGGTTAAATTGCAGACATATTGGCCCAGAACCTTTAATCGAGCCGGAAAAGAGGCTGCTGTATGTTTGCTCCTCTATAATTTTGCGGGGGCGGTCACCCCCATGCGGAAAGCCACTGCCATCACAGGGTGGTTAGTTGTGCAGGCCCTTAGCCGCGAGGTGCAAGCATGTCCGTGGAAAGGCTAGAAATTAATAGGGAGTCACTCATAGCTGTCAGAAGTGTTGAACTTTGAGACATATTGACCTATATCCTTTCAGAGGCGGAAGAGGTGTTGTGGTTCACTCCTCTATAATTTAACCAAAGGGTGGAGAGTTATTAAACATGTTTAGGTTGGCTAGAAATGTGTTTCCTGAATTGCAGAGAAGATGCAGAAAGCAGCTATTAGCTGATTGTTTATTTTAAGAGCCAAGTAGAAAATTAAGAAAGTTACCTTGTTGAACAAATTGTTTATAAAATGAAAAGTTTAGGGAATGTATTTATATGTGTATATATGTATATATGCTAAGTAAAGGATTTGGCAGTATACGCTATAAGTGACAAGGAAAAGTAATCCTGATCTGTTTTCTTACCTTTTTCAGATATAGCAGAAACCAGGGGTGGACATTGGAACACAGATAGAATATCAGATGGAGACCAGTGTTTAAATGTTGACCTTTGATGAGCTATTGAATGTTTTATTTTATTGTCTATTTAACATGTCTATGCTATGATTTTGTGCATACTATTCTCTTATTTCTAGTGATTGTATTGCAATTGAAACCCTTATGTATTATTGTTGTATGTATGTATGTATGTATGTATGCTTGCCTGGGAAAGGGGGGAATTGACCCATAGGGACCAGGGGGTATTTTTGTGTAAACCAAACTGGGGTGGGAGGGCTCTAACGAGGGAACCCCATTGTCCAGTAGGTGCTTGATTTGTGTCTGTGTAAAGTGCATGAGTGGTTGCAGTTCAAAAAACAAAAAAATAAGAGGGATAAGAGAAAGTAGGCATTTTGGGTTATCTATACATGTTTAAATAGAAGGGTGGTAAATAGGAATGTAATTGTTTTGGTTAATGTTTAGATTAAATTGGTTAAATACAGCAATGATAACGAGTGTTTAGATTAAATTGGTAAATGCAGCAGTAATAACGAGTGTTTGGGTTAAATTGGTCGATACTGTAGTGACATTGTGTTTATCTGTGAATCAGGAGTGTGCTGGATGTGAAGAGAGGTGTGTAGGTATTTATCCAAACGCCATAGGAAAAAAATATGGTTAAGACACCACAATCAAATGGTACTTGTGATGATTGGCACAGTTATTATTTATGTTTGTGTTCGTCATTGCCTGTGTTTTCATTCAAGAACTTTCAAGCAAGGATATTTTAAGCAGAAGAAGAAGAAGCACTGGACACTATGCTCAACTGTTGCTGTAAGGAGAAAAAATATTGCAGCTAAGAGTGGTGAGAGTCGGAACAAAATGCATCAGGAGCAGGAAACTGTTATGTCAAGGTGGTTAATGGTATAAAGAAAGAAAAAACAAAACAATGTGACCACAAACACACAAAAGTCCTTGATCACATGAACTGTTTCATTCATCCCTGTCTCCATGAGTATGTTCTATGAGACTGTCGAAGAATAGAGTATCCAGTTTCCAGGACTAATGTTTGTGAAAATTCCAGGCACACAGACCAGCCAGAGGCTACAGAAATCGAGTCGGTCTGTGCCATGATTCATAGGTGTTATGAGTTTGTGGTGTCTAATACTATATTAAGCTCCAAAACACATCCTCACATGAACACAATATCATTGGTTAATCTAATAAAACATGGTTTGAGTTGTTCATTATTATAAGGGTGGGTATGTGCCTATTTCCCAACTGGTAATGCATGTGCTCAATGGTGAACATTTATATAAGCAATAAAATGTTAATGGGTAATAATTAATGGGTAAATGGGTATCGTTCTTCAAAAGGTGGGTTTTGTTGTAGGGCAGGTAGTGTTAAAATGGGGAAGATTCAAAATGTACTGGTTTTATAAATGCTTGTTTTATGACATAAGTCAAAGGGTGGTTTGTAATGGTATTTATTAATTAATGACTTTACATCATAAAGAAAGCATATTTAGTGTAATGCTTTGGGGGCACCACTAGGGGGAGTGTGTAGGAAGACATGTGCTTCTGGCAGTGACATCACAGGCCAGCCTACTTACACTGAATAAAACCAGATGGAGGAGAAAACTCTGTCCCTTTGCCTGTAACTGACTGAACCTAAGATGTAGTACCAGCTCTGACTTAACCCCAGCCAAAGGGCTGGGGCCTTGTAAGTAAAATGAACATTTAGCCTTTTGTGTAACATGTAGCAACCTTTTGTAAGTAATATGTTGTAGTTTTGTATTGTATCATAATTGTAGTAAATTGACATTCTGCTAGCATCTGTTTATTTGTTATAGTTATATTAAATATACATTTAATATTACAATGTTTTGTGTATTTTCTATCCACATATTCGACCATAATACCATGAATTATAAAAATATTAATGTTGTTCCGTATTGCTTAATTATTATGTATTAAGAGATTAATATTCATATTTAGGTCACGACCACAACACAGTGGGATGCCCATTTTTTACTTGAAGGCTAGTTAGAAGCATACTGTTTAATATGTATCTGTAGCTACACCCCTTATATTTCTCTGATTAGCATAGGTTCAGATGATTCCTCCCTGGGATATGTAGTAATATACAGTTAAAGGACCACTATAGGCACCCAGACTACTTCAGCTCAATGAAGTGGTCTGGGTGCCAGGTCCATCTAGGGTTACCCCTGCAGCTGTAAACATAGCAGTTTCAGAGAAGCTGCTATGTTTACAATATGGTTAATCCAGCCTCTAGTGGCTGTCTCATTGACAGCCGCTAGAGGCGCTTCCGCACTTCTCACTGCGATTTTCACAGTGAGAAGACGCTGCCGTCCATAGGAAAGCATTGAGAAATGCTTTCCTATGGACTGATTGAATGCATGCGCGGCTCTTGTAGCACATGCGCATTCGGCGGAAGAGGGAGGAGAGTCCCCAGCACCGAGGGAGCCCGGCGCTGGGGAAAGGTAAGTGTTTAACCCCATAACCCCTCTTGAGCCCGGTGGGAGGGGGACCCTGAGGGTGGGGGGGGGGACCCAAAGATCCTATAGTGCCAGGAAAATGGCACTATAGTGGTCCTTTAAATTAAACAATATTAAACATAACACCATAATAAATGTAGCATAAAGCATTTGATGATATCAGATATGGTACACACTTTTGCAAACCGTAAAACAGTACACAAAAAAACCAAAACCCACTAGTATCTGATAACAAGTGTTCGAGACGGGAGAGAAGAATTAAAGGGGCTGTCTAGCACTATAACCACTACAGACCGTTGTACTTGGTTACTTTTTGGTTCAGTGTCAATCCATTTTAGTGGTTTGGGAAAGGATGGGAACCTCTAGCCACTCATGTACCATGTACCATGTTTCATTAAAGAGTTCAGTTCAGTTGTACTCCCAGAACTATGTTGTCTAGTTACTGGGAGGGGAAAGGGCTATGATCACTGCTTAGCACTTTGTTCCAGCTCATGGAGGATTCAGCAGGGAAAGTCGTTGTAAGGATTACAGCTCCCTGGACTGTGTGTCTTCCAGTCCATAGGAGTGAATAGAGCTTTAATTTCTTACTCAAGTACATAAATCTCTCCATAACTTGTGTTTACCCTTATCATGTGACGCTTCTTTTTCTTTGAAGTTAATTTAAACATTTAGAAACAGACATCACAATCCAGTTCAGGTTGGGCACAGGTAGGGCATACAATGCAAATAAGGAGGAGAAGCTGTAACATTGTTTAATTTCCCCTGCTCTCTGTGTAATTTCTCTACAGGGACTGCCAGGTGCAAAAGACAGACGGCACATCCGAAAACAGCAGCTTGGAACACTGAGGTTTTTATTCATTCCGTAATCTGAACGGAAAAATTATAGGTAAAAACAGACCAGCTGTGCCTGAAGCCGAATTGGCGATTTTTTCAAGCCAGCTGCTATAGCCTACATTTTGCAAACCATTTTTCAATTCACTACAATTTAATGTTTAGTAAATAAATCCCAAAATGGAAAGCACAGGACTTTCTGCAGGCGGACTCCACATACAAAAACGATTTATTCACATTACATCATGTAACCTTTAAAACAACAATTCTCAATAATTACATCGAGTGCTCAGAGTGTGTGTTAACTTCCCACTCATTTTTACATATCCATGCTTCTGTTTTCACCCATCATCTTATTCAGCAAAGCTCTAGACAATGTACACAATCAGACCTCCCACGGGCACGTAAAGGTTAGTATTTGCAACTCGACATTGTTCTTTAGTGTAAATCCAGCAGATGCAGTCAACTAATACCATCAACCATGAGTAGGTTATTACTGGCTTCATTTCATTAATAAATCAATATCAGTTTCCTATTCTACTCCTTAGTCTTGGATATTTAATAAACTATCTGTAAGCTCAGTTGTTGAGATCACATCATTGTTGAGATCTCAAAGACTTTTATTCCACGACAGATATGTATTAGAAATAGCTTATCAAAAACTACAACTTTTATACACGTGGGACCTCCTCAGTATATACAGTGAGGGAAAAAAGTATTAGATCCCCTGCTGATTTTGAACGTTTGCCCACTGACAAGTCTATAATTTTAATGGCAGGTGTAATTTAACAGTGAGAGACAGAATAACAAAAAAGAAAAAACTGCAGAAAAACGCATGTCAAAAAAGTTATAAATTGATTCGCATGTCAATGAGTAAAATAAGTATTTGACCCCATTCAACTAAGTACCTGGTGGCAAAACCCTTGTTGGCAATCACAGACGTCTCTTGTAGCTGGCCACCAGGTTTGCACACATCTTAGGAGGGAGTTTGTCCCACTCTTCTTTGTAGATCCTCTCCAAGTCATTAAGGTTTCGAGGCTGACATTTGGCAACTCGAACCTTCATCTCCCTCCACATATTTTTTATGGGATTAAGGTCTGGAGACTGGCTAGGCCACTCCAGGACCTTAATGTACTTTTTCTTGAGACACTCCTTTGTTGACTTGGCTGTGTGTTTTGGTTCATCCCATTGTACAGCGCTACGGAATTTGCTGGCCCTATATAAATAAAATAATAGTAATAATTGTCATGCTGGAATACAAATCCACGACCCATTTTCAATGCCCTCGCTGAGGGAAGGAGGTTCTCACCCAAGATTTGACAGTACATGGTCCCGTCCATCATCCCTTTAATGTGGTGCATTTGTCCTGTCCCCTTAGCAGAAAAACACCCCCAAAGCATAATGTTTCCACCTCCATGTTTGATGGTGGGGATGGTGTTCTTGGGGTCATAGGCAGCATTCCTCCTCCTCCAAACATGGCGAGTTAAGTTGATGCCAAAGAGCTCGATTTTGGTCTCATCTGACCAGAACACTTTCACCCAGTTCTTCTGAATCATTCAGATGTTTATTGGCAAACTTCAGACAAGCCTGTATAAGTACTTTCTTGAGCAGTGGGACCTTGCAGGCATTGCAGGAGTTCAGTCCTTCACAGCGTAGTGTGTTACCAATTGTTTTCTTGGTGACTATGGTCCAAGCTGCCTTGAGATCATTAACAAGATCCTCCCGTGTATTTCTGGTCTGATTCCTCACCGTTCTCATGATCACTGAAACTCCACAGAGGGAGACTGACAGTTATTTTGTGTTTCTTCCATTTGTGAATAATCACACCAACTGTTGTCGCCTTCTCACCAAGCTGCTTGGCAATGGTCTTGTAGCCCATTCCAGCCTTGAGTAGGTCCACAATCTTGTCCCTGACATCTTTGGACAGCTCTTTGGTCTTGGCCATGGTGGAGAGTTTGGAATCTGATCGATTGATTGATTGCTTCTGTGGACAGGTGTCTCTTATACAGGTAACGAGCTGAAATTAGAGTGCTCCTAATCTCAGCTCGTTACCTGTATAAAAGATGCCTGGGAGCCACAAATCTTGCTGATTCAAAGGTGATCAAATACTTATTTTACTCATCGATATGCAAATCAATTTATAACTTTTTTGACATGTGTTTTTCTGGATTTAATTTTTTTGTTATTCTGTCTCTCACTGTTAAAATACACCTACCATTAAAATTATAGACTGATCATTTCTTTGTCTGTGGACAAACGTTCAAAATCAGCAGGGGATTAAATACCTTTTTCCCTCACTGTAGGTCCGCATTTTGCATTATTTTGTGGTATGTCTTCTCCGCCTGGAGAAGTATTATGGAGAAGGTTTGCACATACTCTTGCTCAGGCTTCAGTCACTACACAACGTAAAGGGGAACCATTACTTTGTAGAATTTTAAATGGTCTGTTTATTTACCTACATATTTAACAATTACTGGTATGTATTTGTGAGGTGTGAAAAATAAAATTAAATGTGGCAAAAAATCCACATATTTTTATCCTGCAACGGGGCACCTCCATCTTAGCTCTCTGTCAAGCATTGTTATAGACTCTGTACTACACTTGGCAGACAGCATAATTGTAGTTTAACATAGCGGTAACTACTATGGACTTCAAAAATATAGAGGGATCCTCTATTTCGATATATGATGTATAAAAAGAAAAATTTATTTTCTACTAAGTGAATCCATATGACGATTGCCATAACAGATGTACTTTAAGTCTAATGAATGCCAAATTGGATGACTTCCCTAAAATACTTGTTTTCTTAAAGGGACACTGTAGGCACCCAAACCACTTCAGCTCATTTAAGTGGTCTGGGTGCAGTGTCCCATCACCCTTAACCCTGAGCATGTAACTATTGCAGTTTTTAAATACACTGCAATAATTACCTGCCTGGGTTCACACCTCCTCTGGTGGCTGTCTACTAGACAACCACAAGAGGGACGTCCGGGTCTTTAGGCGACTTTTGGTCGCCTAAATGATGCTGGATGTCCTCATGCTATGCTTTCCTGTGGGAAAATCCTAATGCAAGCGTAGCCATGGCTGATGTCGGCGGGGAGGAGTGAAGGTGGACCCGAGCCAGCGCCGAGGGACATTGGCGTGGGACCCAGGTAAGTGAGAGAAGGGGGTAATTAACCCCTTCTGCACCACAGGGGGGCCTTGACGGAGCGGGAAGCTATAGTGCCAGGAAAATGAGTTTGTTTTTCTGTTAGTGATGAGTTAGTTTCCCTTTATAGATTGCTGGAGTAATAACACTGGCATATTATCAGATGAAGGATGTGATTCACAAGACAGAAAATAAATATTTTACTTAGTTATGTTGTAACTAGTATAGTTTTATACCCAGTAAATGGCACTTTAATTAGAATGAACTAAAATTTGTAAGAGTGAGTACTTTATAAAATTAAATGTAAATATAAATGGCATGATTTTGTCCTAATTCTTCACAGTACATTATATATTTATATAATATATCTTTTATATAACATTATCTTTGAGTTAGGGCTAGGGTATTAGAGTCTGTGCATCTTCAGAACAGTGCTTGAGGATGCCAGCAAGCCCAATGAAACTCTGCACTGATAAAAATGATCTTATGACCTTTAAAGCACTTTTATCACCTACTCAAACAGCAGAACTGAGAAAGACCTCACATAAAAAAATAGTAAATAAACTCTCACTAGTGAAAAACATTGTTTAGACCCAGAGGCGTTCCTAGGTTAAATGACAGCCGGGGAGGAAATTAATTCTGGCACCAATCCATGAACTGCAGTATTTTTTACGTGTGTCACTCTGCACCCTCCAAAACCCTTTTTATTATGGAATACTCACATTCATATACACACACATTTCCATCCATATACACACAGACACATATACACAGGCACATTCATATACACACACATTTCCATCCATATACACACAGACACATATACACAGGCACATTCATATACACCCACACAGGATCGTACATAACTCACAAATGGACACATATACACACACACACATTCATTAACATACACGCATACACACTCAGAAACATTTTAATACATATACACACTAAATTAGACCCAGCCTTTTCACTTCTGTGGTACTCTGCCAACAGAGATGTCAATGCACTGTCAAACATTGTAATCAGTAGAAAATGCTTTGAGGCTATAGCCTGCAACCATTGGATGTTAGTAGGAGTGTGCTATTGCCAGTAGGGATTGTGGCAATTGGAAGGTTACTATAACCCTTTTGAGATGGGGACCTAGAAGGTCCTCCCTCTCAATGTGTTATAAACCCTGTAATAAAAGGTTTTACTTAACTGAAATTCAGCACAGGGCAAAGCTCCCAGCTGTGCTTTTCTGCGCCCCTCGTCGGGTCGTGTCACCCTCAGATTGCAAGGTCGGCAAGGTCAGGGTGGGAGGCAGAGGGAGGGAGACAAATAAGCAACGGAGGGAGGCAGCAGGGAGCGCCCACACGGTGGGAGGGGAGATCTAGCTTTTCAGAGACCCTGAAAGGGTAACATTTTTACTTCTTTAAAAGACCTAAATTATGCACGGAAATGATATAAGGTAGCCCAGAAGGGCTGCCTAAGTCACATGTGCTGTGGGTGCAATAAGCCCACAGCACACAATTAAAGGGACACTATAGTCACCAGAACAAGCTTATTGAATTTGTTCTGGTGAGTAGAATCATTACCTTCAGGCTTTTTGCTGTAAACACGGTCTTTTCAGAGAAAATGCAGTGTTTACATTACATCATAGTGATAACTTCACTGGCCACTCCTCAGATGGCTGTTAGAGATCCTTCCTGGGTCATGGCTGCCTAAAATGCATCCAAACATTCAGTGTCTCCTCCCTTTGCATGCAGACACTGAACTTTCCTCATGGAGATTCATTGATTCAATTCATCTCTATGAGGAGATGCTGACTGGCCAGGGCTGTGTTTGAATTGTGCTGGCTCTGCCCCTGATATGCCTCTTTGTCAGTCTCAGCCAATCCTATGGGGAAGCACTGTGATTGGATCAGGCCACCACTTCTGATGATGCCAGCAGACAGCTTGTTTATCTGAGGCAAACAGCATGCAGATCTACAGCTTCAGGCTTGAATACAGTAAGATTTTGCTATATTTATGGAGGCATGAGGGGCCCAAGACGGGCTAGATGGTGGTTTTAACACTACAGGGCCAGGAATACATGTTTGTGTTCCTGAACCTATAGTTATCCTTTAAGAATATCTCAGTATGTGCAATGTTTAAAAGCTGAAACACTGTACATATTGACTCCTACCACCATGACCACTTCAAATCATTGAAGTGTTCGTGGTAGGTGGAGTAATCATATAGCTGTTTACACACTAGTGGCTTGTTCAACACAGTGAGTTCCAGTGAACTTAATGTTAAATTGTGCAATTCAAGCTATAATAGCTGAGCTGTGACTATAACCAAGTTGGAGAATTTTTTAATTCTTTATTGTGGCCTGAAATTTGTAGTTTGGTTTTATTTTGATTACAATTTCTCACTTTAGCGAATAGTCTTATACTCTTGCATATCAACATAAGCTTGTCGGTTATGCTTTCAAAGTACCCTTTCTAAACTCAGCCACTAAAAAAATGCATGTACACATGGGTGCTTTGATCATGCCTACAAAACGGTCTTGGGACAATCAGTGACCTCATAGAAAAAGGGTAAAAAGTATATTTCCATCTACGACCCTCAGTCTTCCATCAGGATGTTGCAATATGGAATGTCTCTAACAGCGTTTTTCATTCAGATATTTTTTAGAATTTAGAAAGAAAAGCAAAGTAATTTATTATTTTCTAAACTCTTACAGTAGAAAAAGTAAAAACAACAACAAAAAAGGTTGGACTATTCCTTTGAGCTTTAGAATTACAAGTCAATCTCTTGTATTTACCATTCAAGCTAACAAACGTCTCTTTAATTTGCTTTTGATCAGAAGACATGCACACAAAGGCAGCTCAGTATGGGATGCATAAACATCTAACCATTTGTCATTGTATGGTTACTGTGACTAAGATGATAAAATGTATGCTGCGATTTACGTCTGCGAAAGACTCATTCCATTAATGCCAGCTGCAATTAACATTTTTAGACAATACTGAAACATTATAAATATGTATTAAAAAAAAAAAAAGAAAGAAAGAAAAGTAACACTCAGAGAAATAATATTTATATATGCATACGTATATTTTATATTTTGACCATTATTTCGACAGACAGATGACGATTTCAAATCCATTATTACACAATGGGTGACGCCACACTGCATTACAGACATTAATGCACGCTGTGTATAACATTGTGAGGCAAAGTGCCTTAAACTGTGGAGGATGGTTAATAGGAGCAGGGGAGCACTGCCCCCTCTCCCCCAAGATTTTCTTGCAAAATCTTTTTAGTTGGACTACTGATAAGTATGCATTAGAAAAGACATGTGTGTGTCATGATTATATCTGTAGTTTCCATTTTCACTGTAAAAAAAAAAAAATTTGCATAAAGAAAATATCAGGAGATAAAGTCGGCATAATGCAGGTAACAGCGTCATATACTAGTGATAACAAAGCCGTAGGACAACACCAAGAAAGCCTGACACAAAGACAATCCTAAAAGTAAAGAGTTACAACGGTTAAACTAGGCCTAATACCACATTGGCATTGGTATGGGTCCATTCTCGCTTTTAGAGACAGATGGCTTTGAACAGGGCATGGCATCTCATGGGGCTAAAGGGCTAAACTCACCATCTTTAAACTTCATCAGATACCACTGCCCAAATCTCAGGCAAGCACCAGATCATAAACACTGATCAGCCACACCATTAAAACCACCTGCCTAATATCGTGTAGGTGCCACTCATACTGTTATGCGTCGTGGCATGGACTCCACAAGACCTCTTAACGTGCCCTGGGGTATCTTAGAAGCAGATCCTTTAAGTCCTGCAAGTTGTGAGGTGGGGTCTCCATGGATCAGATTTGTTGTTCCAGCACATCCCAGTGAGATTCTGTCTGGTGTCACAGCTCCTCTCCCAGCATATCTCTAAGGAAAGTGCCACAAATAGCAGCTGCTGCCCCAGAGATGAATTTCGAACGTGTCGGGCAGGGTAGGTCATATGTAACTTACTGCTATATTTTTTAAAATAAAGGAACTCAAACAATATATAAAAGAAAGATAATACTGAAGCATGTATTATGGGAAAAGAGTATAGAAAACTGTATAGTAGTTATGTGGTTTTAGAGACATTCACATTTCCACTCAAAATGTGTTCTTGCTGTTTATTATAACTCTAGAACCCATCAACGGCAATATGTTTCCAAAATATGTATTTATTGTGTATATGAAACCCCAAGTTTGGGTTATTATATTTGAAAGAGAGCACTTGTGAGATTTATGGAGGCAAGTATAAGTGCTTTATTCTATTTAAGCTGACACACAGCCACATTTGATTACCAATGGACCTAAACAGGTTTTCCAGTCAGTATTCCTGAATTGAGCCCTGGACTCAGACTTGTACCTAGACGCATCACTCACATTTAATTAGCAATCTCATTGTCTTCCGCGATACTGTCCCTCCCTCTACCCCCATTCTGTCTGTTACAGACAGGTGGCTGTTTAAACTGGGGTTCTTGAAACCCTGACCTCTTCTTAAAGGGACACTTCAGCACATTAGTTTTCTGAACTGCTTTATGTGTGAAGAGCATGCCCTCTTTTTCATTTTTCAGATTTCAATATAAATTAACACTTTTATAAATGAACCTTGCTACACCCCCTGGCTGTCAATCAGACTACCGGTTCTGTTACTTCCTGGTTTGGAAAGCTCAGTGGAGCTAAACTCAAGAGGCAGCAATTGTCCAGAGTACCTGCCTTGCATTGAGAAGTCTGTGATTGGACAGCCACAGAACATCTGAGTGGGGTTAGAAGGGGAGGGCTTGCAAATGCTGCAGACAAGGTCAGCAGCTTTTGCAAGCTAGGTTTAGTTATACCCCAATTAAAATGCACAATTAAATACATTTATGTTTTCTTTGGGGCATATCTACAATACGGTGATTTTATCATTTATTTTTGTATTTGGTCAATGGAGTGTCCCTTTAAAGGACCACTATAGGCACCCAGACCACTTCAGCTTAATTAAGTGGTCTGGGTGCCTGGTCCAGCTAGGATTAACCCTTTTTTTTTTTTATAAACATAGCAGTTTCAGAGAAACTGCTATGTTTACACTGAGGGTTAATCCAGCCTCTAAAGCCTCTAGTGGCTGTCTCATTGACAGCCGCTAGAGGCGCTTGCGTGCTTCTCACTGTGAAAATCACAATAAGAAGACGCCAGCGTCCATAGAAAAGCATTGTAAATGCTTTCCTATGAACTGGCTGAATGCGCGCATGGCTCCTGCCGCGCATGCGCATTCAGCCAATGACGTCGCAAGGAAGAAGGAGAGGAGGAGGAAAGTTCCCCGCCCGGCGCTGGAGAAAGGTAAGATTTTAACCCCTTCCTCTCCCCAGAGCCCGGCGAGAGGGGGAGCCTGAGGGTGGGGGCACCCTCAGGGCACTATAGTCGTCCTTTAAGCTATATACACTTTATAAAAATATTCACCTATTTTAACAGTTGGATTATGAATTTCCCATCACAAAGGGTTCAATTGAATATATATGCATTACCTTAAACATTAAGGTTCAAAATGAGAAACCCAGCCTCAGATATTAAATTGTGATAATTAAATACTGAAAAAAAATCCTTACATTTTAAGTAGCTCAGAATGCAAGGGGTTAAACAGTTTTATATTAATAAATTAAAAATATTTTGAAAATGAACACCCACAAATGGACTGCTTATTGTATATATATATATACACACACATTAAAGATGCTAAAATAGGTCTCCTCTCCTTTACCTGGGTCCTTTCTCCCTTGGCTACCCCTTGAAAACAAGCAGGCAAAATATAAATGTTAATTATTTAATATTACAATAAAAAAATAAACAGAAAAGATCCATTCAATGACACTTCAAATTATTCTATGCTGTTTTTTCAATAGTGCATAATACACACATTTATTTTCAGTAATAAATAGGATATTGACTTGCAAATCGAACATGCATGTTGTGTTTAACCCTTTCACTGCAGGTTATCCTATACCAGCACAGTGTTTGAATCAATACCGTCTGTAACATCCCTTTGAGATTTTGCCAATAATGATTCTTCTAAAACAGCCATTGCTGATTCCAACCCCTTGCAGCATTGCCTCTATACACCTTGCATTTGCTATTTAACTCGTGTTGGTTGTACAGAGCACAGCTATGCAGACCCAGGTTTAATTGTACAGCTCTTGCTCCAGCTAAACCTTGTGTTATAACCTTGAGAAGCCTATTTAATACACAGCACAGTGAGACAAATGTATGCAGCTATCTAGCAGATGTCCCCTCCATTTAATTATACTGAATGCAACCCATGCATAACAAGCAATCCACACATAGAATGAATAGAATATAGACTGTACCTTGCTGTGTTACTAAGTTGCATTCCTTAGTTCTGATCCAGGATTGATGCTCTGCACTGGAATAGCATCCTTGCTAGCTGGTACCAGACAGGTCATGCTGCAATTGGAGGCAGATGGCAACACCTACTCACACGCTTGCTATTGGTCATCGCCTTGGTAACCAGGTGATGGACAGTTTAGTTTTCACAATGACAGAATTAAAGTTGGGAATAATGAGCCCCCACAAGTGCAGTGTGGGTTGGAAATGTGGAAAAGTGTGAAATTGTCAGAGAGCACAGCTAGAAGGCAGCTATTGTAGGTAAATGAAATCAATTGCCTTGAACACAGAGATTCAGTGGGAATGGATACATCAATTGATTTCCTTTGTGTGCTTGTTAGTGCATATGCTTGAGTGAGTACATTGCATATCCATCCATCTATCCATCCATCCATCTATCCATCCATCCATCCATCTATCTATCCATCTATCCATCCATCAATCAGACAGGATCGAAGAAAATAATTCTATATCAGAAATAGAAGAGACAATTTGTTATAACAAGACCCCCCTTAGGATAAACATAGGTCTGCCTGGAAGCATAACTGTGTGCCAAAATTGCCAAATTGTCCTCCCTCCTGTCTAGGGCTTTATGGACAAGTATGTGAATTTTGGTTAACTTGGTTAGTCATGATTTTGATTTAAACAAAAGTCATATCTATCTCTGTACATATCTGGGAATATCTTGTTTTTTTTTTTTTTTTAAATCAGTATTTTTTGAAGTCGTCGTTCCACCTTGCATGTTGATGGTGTGCATCATTCCCGCACTGATAGTGTCGCTGCATATCAGTCCTGTGTCTATTTTGACGCCAGACGTCATTTTGGTGATAATTATAATGTGAACCACTCCACATTGGCCTCATTTTATACACCCCATGGCTTGCGTCTTTTGCAACTCTCACACACAACACTATTCAACACGCCACTAACTATGGCAGAACCTATGGTCCGTCTGTTTACTTTTAGATGACAGCTTTGTCCTGCGTCTCCCCCAGCCTACATCTACAGTATGAGGCAGAAGTCAAATATAGTTACCTGCAGGCCCAGACTAGGGGGAAAATTTGGCCCAGGGAATTTTTTTTTTATCACAGCAGCCCAGTGGTAAGTGTTGGCATCAGAGGGGGTTGTTGTATCACAAATGACGAGCATGCCCCCCTCAAAGTGAGCATGTTGGTTCAATACTCTTCCATGTGCAGAGAGACCTGCTGAAGTGCCCTCATTTGAGAAAAAGATTACATGTAAGTAGAGTGAACTGATTGTAGTGTTGTGTTTTATGTAAATAGGTCGGTTTCAGTTGTGTTTGTGGTGTAATATGTGTGGCTAGGGGCTGTAGAGAGTGTGTGCGTACAGGTGCAGTAGTCAGTGGTGTATTTTAAAATGGTGCTGCCCTAGGCATGACAGATCTCGGGCACCCCCTAATTTAATTGTACCCGCCCCTTCCTGCCAAGGCCACACCTCTTGCTGTTCACTTACACTCATTTTGACTGACAGACACACTCACGGACCAGCACACACTCTCAGATACACTGACATACACATACACACACATACACTGACTGATTTGACACAATCTGACACACATACAATAATTTAGACACAATTTATATTATTGCATACAATCACTGACATTCACTGAAACACACACTCACTCAAATTCACTGACACACACACATTTCCCCACACTCACAATTATTATTATTTTTTTTTAAATTTAAATCCACCCTGCTCCCTACTTTTGGGATAGCTGGGTGGATTTTTCACCTGGGGTCCTGTGGGGCTGCTGGGCAGGGAGGCGGCCGGACGTGCAGGCGGCGTGCAGCCTTCCCCTATTTCCTCTAGTGGCTGTCTCATTGACTGCCACTAGAGGCGCTTGCGTGCTTCTCATTGTGATTTTCACAGTGAGAGCACGCCAGCGTCCATAGGAAAGCATTGATAATGCTTTCCTATGTGACCGGCTGAATGCGCGCGCAGCTCTTGCCGCGCGTGTGCATTCAGCCGACGGGGAGGAGAAGAGCTCTCCGCCCAGCGCTGGAAAAAGGTAGGTTTTTACCCCTTTGCCCCTTCCAGAGCCGGGCGGGAGGGGGTCCCTGAGGGTGGGGGCACCCTCAGGGCACTATAGTGCCAGGAAAACGAGTATGTTTTCCTGGCACTATAGTGGTCCTTTAAATCAAGTTTAGTAAACCATGTGGACCCCTGAAGACAGTTAAAGAGTTTGGTGAGGAGTCGAATAGGGTATACTTTTTTCACTGTGGTTTTGCTCAAACCTCGGTAGTCTATGCAGGGTCTTCGCTCACCTTCCTTTTTGTAAACAAAAAAAAAATCCTGCAACTGCAGGTGAAGAAGACCGTCTGATAAAGACATCTTGAAGTGCCTCCTGGATGTATTCCTCCATTAATAAATTCTCCTTCAGATTGAGAGGATAAACCCTACCCATAGGTGGCATAGTAGCAGACAGTACGTTTATGGCACAATCATAAGGTCTATGAGGCGGAAGACGGTCTGCTTTACCCTATCAAATACTTTTCAAATCGCAGTACTGAGAAGGTACAACAGTATATAATGGGGGAGCAGTAGAAATCTTTATATTTCTTACAGGTTTAAACATAGACCGACATTTTCCCTGACAAGAGAGGCCCCAGGCTTTTATTTGTTCAGTAAGCCAGTCAATAGAGGGGTTGTGCTGGTAGAGCCATGGAAAACCCAGAAGAGGGAAGGGTGGAGAAGATATAAGTTGGAGAGTAATCGATAGCCAGGCCAAGATCAGGATAACAGAAATACATGGAATCAATAGCCATGCCAAGATCAGGATAACAGAAATACACAGAATCGATAGCCAGGCCAAGAAAAGGATAACAGAAATACACGGAATCAATAGCCAGGCCAAGATCAGGATGACAAATACACAGAATCGATAGCCAGACCAAGATCTGGATAATAGAACTCCTCGGAATCAAGAGCCAGGCCAAGATCAGGATAACAGACATACACGGAATCAATAGCAAGGCCAAGAAAAGGATAAGAGAAATACACGGAATTGATAGCCAGGCCAAGATCAGGATTACAGAAATACACGGAATCAATAGCCAGGCCAAGATCAGTATGACAGAAATACACGGTATCGATAGCCAGGCCAAGATCAGGATGACAGAAATACACGGTATCGATAGCCAGGCCAAGATCCGGATAACAGAAATACACAGAATTGATAGCCAGGCCAAGAAAAGGATAACAGAAATACACGGAATCAATAGCCAGGCCAAGAAAAGGATAACAGAAATACACGGAATTGATAGCCAGGCCAAGATCAGGATAACAGACATACACGGAATCAATAGCCAGGCCAAGAAAAGGATAAGAGAAATACACGGAATTGATAGCCAGTCCAAGAAAAGGATGACAGAAATACACGGAATCAATAGCCAGGCCAAGATCAGGATGACAGAAATACACGGTATCGATAGCCAGGCCAAGATCCGGATAACAGAAATACACAGAATTGATAGCCAGGCCAAGAAAAGGATAACAGAAATACACGGAATCAATAGCCAGGCCAAGAAAAGGATAACAGAAATACACGGAATTGATAGCCAGGCCAAGATCAGGATAACAGACATACACGGAATCAATAGCCAGGCCAAGAAAAGGATAAGAGAAATACACGGAATTGATAGCCAGTCCAAGAAAAGGATGACAGAAATACACGGAATCAATAGCCAGGCCAAGATCAGGATAACAGAAATACATGGAATCAATAGCCAGGCCAAGATCAGGATAACAGAAATACATGGAATCAATAGCCAGGCCAAGAAATGGATAACAGAAATACATGGAATCGATAGCCAGGCCAAGAAAAGGATAACAGAAATACACGGAATCTATAGCCAGGCCAAGAAAAGGATAACAGAAATACACGGAATCAATAGCGAGGCCAAGATCAGGATAACAGAAATACACGGAATTGATAGCCAGGCCAAGATCAAGATTACAGAAATACATGGAATCGATTGCCAGGCCAAGATCAGGATAACAGAAATACATGGAATCAATAGCCAGGCCAAGATCAGGATAACAGAAATACATGGAATCAATAGCCAGGCCAAGAAATGGATAACAGAAATACATGGAATCGATAGCCAGGCCAAGAAAAGGATAACAGAAATACACGGAATCTATAGCCAGGCCAATAAAAGGATTACAGAAATATACGGAATCAATAGCCAGGCCAAGATCAGGATGACAGAAATATACGGAATCGATAGCCAGGCCAAGAAAAGGATAACAGAAATATACGGAATCGATAGCCAGGCCAAGATCAGGATAACAGAAATACACAGAATTGATAGCCAGGCCAAGATCAGGATAACAGAAATATACGGAATCGATAGCCAGGCCAAGAAAAGGATAACAGAAATACACGGTATCGATACGCAGGCCAAGAAAAGGATAACAGAAATACACGGTATCGATACGCAGGCCAAGAAAAGGATAACAGAAATACACGGTAGCGATAGCCAGGCCAAGATCCGGATAACAGAAATACACAGAATTGATAGCCAGGCCAAGAAAAGGATAACAGGAATACACGGAATCAATAGCCAGGCCAAGATCAGGATAACAGAAATACACAGAATCGATAGCCAGGCCAAGATCAGGATGACAGAAATACATGGAATCGATAGCCAGGCCAAGAAAAGGATAACAGAAATATACGGAATCGATAACCAGGCCAAGATCAGGATAACAGAAATACACAGAATTGATAGCCAGGCCAAGAAAAGGATAACAGAAATACACGGAATCGATAGCCAGGCCAAGAAAAGGATAACAGAAATATACGGAATCGATAACCAGGCCAAGATCAGGATAACAGAAATACACGGAATCAATAGCCAGGCCAAGAAAAGGATAACAGAAATATACGGAATCGATAGCCAGGCCAAGAAAAGGATAACAGAAATATACGGAATTAATAGCCAGGCCAAGATCAGGATAACAGAAATACACAGAATTGATAGCCAGGCCAAGATCAGGATAACAGAAATACACGGAATTGATAGCCAGGCCAAGATCAGGATAACAGAGAGCAAGTATTGTC